TAAAAAAACAAAACAAATGCAGACACATTTTAAATGATGACACAATCATTCCCGTCAGTTTTTTTTATTTCATATGAATAATTAAAAATGTTTACTTTCTTTACAGCAAAGCACAGCTAGGTCATAGATTTCATATTTATTTCAGTTTTTATTTCAGTATTTAGCGATTCTAGAAATGTTAAAGGTTTGTCATCTCTGAAAAAGGCAAAGGATTCTGGGAGAAAATATACGTTGAATAGCAGGCATTATTCTGCTATGCCATCTGTCAATGTGTCTTTAAGATAATTACAATAAAATGCTATGAAATATATGTTATCTGATATGAATTTCTAAAATGTAAAGTTGTAAATCCCTGCTGTTTAGCCGACTTTGGTAAAAGAACGGAACTATTGATAAAGTGCGCCCACTGACTGGACAGTGAATGCTGCCATTTTGTAGGCTAATATGATAAAGAAAGAGCCTCATGTATGAAACAGACCTTTTTGTGTTACCCATAGTATTTGCCCTTTAAATCTGTCAGAGCAGGTTAAAGAACAAAAAGATAGAAAGTGATTGCTGTAGGCAAAGGACACATTACTATTATCTCAGTATCATCACTACCTACAAAGCTACATTTCCATGAATAGTAGTACTATGAAAAAATAGCTGCCCCATTTGTTTGTAGGAGAGGTGCATTTGAGTCCCTGTCACGTGCGCTCTGGACATTTGCTAGCATGGCGTTTTCTGGGTCTTTTGCCCGTCCTAAGTATGGCAGAAAACATATTCATGAAAGATTTCAAATAGTTAATAAATATTCATGAAAGGGTCCCAATAGTTAGCAATAAATAAGATTCCAGTTTCCATTTTTATAGTTCTGAAATAATTATGCATACCACACATACAATATATAAATCACTTTTCTGTTGCAAAATTCAATTAAAATCCTTTATTACTACATATACATGTAATCTAAGTAGTCTTAAAGTTTGTACTAATTGGTACAGTTCGAATAGAATCTTGTTGTAGCAAAAGCTTAGCCTTCAAAGTATAGAGTTAATTATATTACTTATGCAATTTTCATATAACGAGCGCTGAAAAATCAGATTTTTTTTTTAAAGATGATTTTAGGAGAACAAGATCTCAGCCTTTATTTTCTTATTAAGAAATTTACACCAAACCAGTTATTTATTTATTTTAATTAAAAGGACTTCTATACTAATGGTGATAAAAACACCAGCAATGACTGTTGTATACTCAAGCAATCTTTTTTAGTCCTACAAAAAGAACCCCGTATAGGTGGCCCAAGAGATCCAGCTGGGAGAGACAGGGAGGTGCTATGTCACACAAGTGATCCCGCTTACCTGCATCTATGGAGGTGCTTCCTCATTATGCAGGAAAGATAGATGTCGTTCCCTCGCTAGCAAAGTAGATTTAGTAGCATTCTGGGTCAGCGAGGAAGTGATTTTATAAAGGTAAGTTGAAGACTCTCATGGGTGACATGGCCCTGAGTGGCACACTACTACAAATGTAATGCTTCAGTGGTCCTTTTTTGAGGGTATTACAAGCCTTTATAAAGTGATTCTTTGTGCAGTTTTACAGTAAACATGCAAGTGTTCTCCATAGAAATAATTGAAACTGAGTGGGATGAAAAATTAAGTAGGCGGTCAACAAAAACCCTCCACAAAAACAGTACAGTAAAATCAAAATATATGGAAACCTTGTGCAAAGGTTCAAGCAATTTGTTTTTAGTAAAATATATCCACTCCTTTTTTAGTGCACAGAACCACAGATGAAAAATGACATTTTCCATTAAATATAAAAGATGACACAGTTTTGAGTTATTATCAAATAACGAGCCCCAAACTGGCCTTTGCTTGCGTAAAGAAGAAAAACTACGATACTCAAACTTGTAATTTTTTTTAGTACTATTATTTTGTGAATGACAGGTGCACTCAATGGGGTCAATCTTTTCTGCCTGCAGATTGGGGATACAGATCCTAATCTGGCTGCTGGTGTCAGTATTGTGATAGTTCTGAACTTAAAAATGCGAACAGCCGAGTACTTTTGGGTTCATTCAGCCTACAAGAGATAGGTGAATATAGAAGTTCACTGCTCTCCTCCAGCTCTTAAAGCGGGAGAACACTGTTAATATTTGCTTGACTGCAACCTTCAGTCAGTCAGCAGGCAGAGGCCCATAGAGCTGCTGCATAGGTACAGCCGTATCTCTGAAAAACTGCTGTGTTGGGGAATATACACGAAAGGAAGTCAGAAAGATCATCACTCACAGGGAACCTGTCAGAACAGAAATAAAAGTCCATGAGGGCACATTTACAGAAGGTAAAAAAGGGAAATGTATCCATCAACCTTTACACAAAGTAAACCTGGAGACTCCTACTGTTGACCTCTCTTTCAAACTACTAGTTCCCTGGCTGCCACAGTTACACTCCTGCTTTCAGAGTATGCAGATGAGGATTTCTGACTTTCCTGATTTGCATACTTGTTCCGAAACAGTTCAAGATAGCGGCCAAGCAAGCCTTTTACTTCTCTCAAGTCAGGGCACTTTGAAGGGCATCATGTTTTATTGTTAAGATTCACGACTGAGCTGCTTCTGAGGCTGTACCCATCACCAGGGCCTCATTTATCAAAGCTTCTCAGTTTGTACTGCACTTAGAGAAAGAAATTTATATTTTGGCTGGTTTCTAGAGATTATGTAGAATGTCAGATATTTTCTCTAAGGTACTTTGATTAAAGAAAAAAAAGAAAAGAAAAAAAGGTTACTGAAACGTGCTTGTTTATGATGACAATAGAGATCGATATATACGAACTTCAAAACTCAATTCAGCGCTGTAAGCAAAGAAAAAAAAAACTCCACTCTAAACTGATGCTTTAATCCCAAAGTGCAAGCGTGAAGATAAATTGTAGATATGGCAACCATTCAGAAGTGAGCTTTCATTCACCCAAGTATAATAAAATTATTGCTTTCAATAGATCAATGCTTTGTTGTTTAAATAATGCCTATGAAATAGCACATGCCTGTGTTCTAGCTCATCAAATGACAAGACATAACTTTCTCAAATACAAAGGAAATGAAAAGTGCCTTGGAAAAGGTGATTTTCAGGGCTGAAAGCATTTGGCCTGGACAAAAAAAAATATGAAACCCTTGGTGTGGATCAAAGCAAGATCCACAAGGTGCCAAAACATACCACTATTTCAAGCAGCCGTCCTTCCACAGCACCAGCAAGTTTACAGAGCTGGCAGCCTGGTTTTGCGTACAACCCCACCTCCTCCATTTATTGACACCGGACTTTTTAGGTACCCACTCCGAGACAAAGTATACCACCTTTAACCCGATTTTATTCACATATACACAACTTTTTAAAAGCCATAAAAACACGTATCATATGAAATGGTGAAAATGGCTCATTTAGAACACATAAATGCCTTTACTTACCCACATCCAATGTCATATTGCGCCGTTTCCAATCACAAAAATTGATATAAAACCACTTTTGGAAGTGTATCAATCGAAATATAGACAGTCAGATGGGATGCTCTCAATGCATTTCACCGATATATGTTCCGCTTCGTCAGGAGCACAGAAGGCACTACATGAATGTATATACGTAGTAAGAATTTGAACATGATCAGAACTGTAAATGACACATTGCACTTTACACATATCGATCATCTTACTTGATGTAATTATGGAACCATCACAGAGCCAGTTGGATTGCAGCCTGTTGGGTGAGCACATTCATAGCAGGTAGTTCCCACCAGCCGGAGATCTAGAGACAACAGGAGTCTTGTACTATAATCATGTTTTTTAGAACATGCTCCGTGATGGTTCCATAATTACATCAACATGATCAATATGTGAAAGGTAGAATGCGTGATTTACATTTTTGATCATGTTAAAACACTTACTACGTATATACATTTAGAGAGTGCCTTCTGTGCTCCAGATGAAGTGGAATATGTGTCCGTGAAACATGCCGAGACAATCCCATCCAACGGCCTCCATTTCGATAGAATGTTAGATACACTTCCAAGAGGGGTTTGATATCGATTTTTAGAAACGACACAATATGACCATTGGATGTGGATAGGTTATTGGCAATTAAGTGTTCTAAAAAAGCCATTTGACCATTTCAAATGCTACATGTTCTTATTGCTTTTAAAACATTGTGCATATACGAATAAAATAGTGTTATAGACGGTATACTGTGTCTCTGAGTGGGTACCTAAAACGTCCAGTTTGAATAAATTAAGTTATTAGCATGTGATGTGGTACCCCATTATAAGATATATTTGTGAGTTTAGTTTTCTTGTGTTTAGCAATCCTTTATCTGTGCAGTGATGTAATTGATCTGTAAAAAGTAAGTCAAGGCAACCGGACTTGCTGTATTTTTCTTGAAGACGTTTCACTGGTCATCCAAGCAGCTTTCTCAATTCAGAATGACTTGTACAAAAATGATCTGGGAATAAATATGGTGAATGTCGCTCCAATCCACATAATCTGATAGTCACAACTGGGTGTTGATTGCATTTGCATGATTGGAGTCCAGGAGGTGTTATTAACCTGCCCAGAGAGAGGTTAAAAACCCCAAAAACAGCATTGTATGTGGCAGACAATAGATGTCTCCCTCCCCCACCTCTATTCAAACTTGACTTCTACAATGCTGTTTTAACACCTCTATCTGGGCAGGTTAATAACACCTCCTAGACTCCAATTATGCAAATGCAATCAACACCCAGTTGTGACTATCAGATTATGTGGATTGGAGCAACATTCACCATATTTATTCCCAGATCATTTTTTGTACAAGTCATTCTGAATTGAGAAAGCTGCTTGGATGACCAGTGAAACGTCTTCAAGAAAAATACAGCAAGTCCGGTGGCCTTGACTTATTGTTTACAGATATACCATGACCTGGATGAATGAAAACCTTCACAGACAGTGATGTAATTTGTTCCATATGACCCGACAGGTTGCGTAGATGAGAGGAACAAAGGATAAAGTTAAAGAAACCTATGTCACCTCCCAAAGGGTTGAAACATACTCTAGATACAAGTTAAAGACTATGGAGGAAATTGGTTAGAATGAAGAAAAAGTGAAAGGCTTCCCAGCATCCCTTTCAACACAAAATTGGAGGTGGGTGGTTTCAATGATTGAGCAGCGAGGCACTTCACTCCTCTCTAGGCAGCAAAGTGGAATTTTCTACTCCTATAAGTTATTGCCACTAAGCCCCAGAGCTAATTCTATTATGTTATAGTTAAAATCCTGTATCGTATATGCGTTTGTTTTTCTCTAAAAATATTTGAGCATGTGGTCCCTTTTTGAATTGCTAAACCTAAAGATAAAGGAAACAAAATTAAATTAAAAACCGAAGCCTGCAAAATAAATGTTTTTTAGTAAATAGTTCATTAAAATGATGCAGCATTAGAAAGGGAAAAGGAGTTAACGAAAAAGAAAATAAGCATATATTTGATTTTCTTTTCCCTCCCAAACAGGGAACATATATCTGAACACCTATAAATCTTTTCAACCAAGAGAGGTCAGCAAGCTGGGACTGCACAATGCACTGCATTCCTCTCCTTCACCAGAAAGACCAGGCCAATCCACCATCTGTACATGTATGATACAAGGAACAGGGCTCTGCTGCCCTCTGCTGGCAATCAGCAGTTACTGTTTTTTTTTCTTCCAATCAGCCGTGGCTTTACTTGCGATCATCGATGGTTTTAATAAACTCCACTGCAGCTGTGAACTGCATCCACCAATAGGATTCTTCTCCAGTTAATCGGTTTGAATAGAAACTGTTGATGTATTGCACAGTAGATAACAAGCAGGGTGGGTTAGCCTGTAAAAAAAGCAAACATGGTATACACATTTTTAGCAGAAAACTGAGGCTTGGAGACGCCGGGTCATATGACCCTCGCACCCGGAAGTGACGTCAGACGACCGCGCCGCGCGGCGAGCCTCACTTCCGCCCTTACAGCTCGACTCCTTCCACCCCCTGTCTCCACGAGGGCCGCCGCACAGCACGCCTTCAGCGGCCGACCGACGCCACCCAGAGACCAGGGGATGCCGCTGTTGCCACCACCTCGCTCAGCAGGATCAGGTAGGAGCGCCACACACACCTGAAGCAGGGGTTTAAGGACTAGGGGAACTCCTCTGAGTCCACTACACCAACAGGTTGGTTGCCCTGCATACTCTTATGCCGGGAAACCATAGGCAATTTCTTTTGGACAGTTGGGGCTGTCCCGGAAGCCCCCCTCCATAGGTACCCCAGGTCCACTGACCCTCTGCTGTACCATGTTGGGGGGAAGCCCCTGCTCGCTAGCACGTAGGCCTAGGAAAAATAACAAACGTTACGATGTCCTGCTCGGCCGGAGGAAACACAAAATAACTGAGGTGTGCTAGGCTGGTACTCTTTTTATTCTAGGTGTGGGTGATGTGTTTCCTGTTTCCGGTGGGAGGAGCCTATCTCTCTAATGCTGTCCTGGAAGGTGACTAGAGAAAAATAATTAGTAGGAAAACTACTTTGCATTTTTTCTTTTTGATAAATCCAATTGTTTCTACTTGTCATCAAAATCTTTGCTAGGATACAGTGTGGGTATACTATAAACATTCAAACGGGTACTATATAAAGAGTAGATAACACGGCTTCCAATGTGTGTTCTATATATTTTAATTTCAGGCATTTATGTAGCACCATCAGTTTAAGCAGTGCTTTACATACTATTCATTTACATCAGTTCCTTCTCTCAAGGAGCTTACAAAGGAGATTTTAAAGCATGCTCAGAAACAGGAGTAATTCTGGGAGATATAGTCTTGCACTAGCATGAGTTTAGCAAACCTAACAAACCACAAGCCAATAACCCACCTACTATTACGGATTACAAACATTAAATCCCAACTCTTTGCAGGCAAAACCTAAGTATCTGTCAGTTTACATCCATGCAATTCAATAATCACCCCTTAACGAATAGTTATTTAGGAGTAATTCTGCAAGCTAACTTGTTATGGTTTGAAAGCCTTAAAGAGGAACACCATGATTTGCAAAAGTTAACCCTTGCAGTTGGGCTACCCCACAGTGCAAGCGTTAGCTGCTTGTTTTGGTCTATAGTTACCAAGAAAGAAAATATACTTACCTGGTCCTCGATCCCATCTGGCTGCTAGACTTGTCCCCAGCACGCTAAGGACCCGTGATGTTATCACGGGTCTAACAGGTCTATCAGACGCAAAGATGAGGGACAAAGCACAGCCCCAATGGAAAAGGGAAGGTAAGCAGTCACTGCCGCAGGACTGAGGATCAGGTATATCTTCTTTACTCCGTTCCCTTGACCAAAATGAGCAGTTAACCCTGCTAGAGTTAACTTTCAAAATGCCTGGAGTTCAACTTTAAAGGATTACTTATCTTAGCTGCAGAAAAGTTCCTATTCCACATCATCTCTGAACAGGTACATTTCATCTAAACACCAAGCTGTCTTGGGTGCATTTGACAAACTCTTAAAGCTGAAGTTTAATGTGCGTTTTGTTGCCTTCCCCGATTTCCTCCTCATCACTATGCTATGGAAATGTTTCAATTAAATCTTTGTTTTCATATCATACCTTATTACAGAGCCAGTGACATTTATGCAATGCTGGGTGTTTCTCTATGCAACACAGACAGATCAGGGCTGGTGAGAGGGGCCGGCATGGTGATATAGAGAGAGACATATATAGATATATATCTATATATGAATGAGAGAGATATAGAGATGGTGAGATATATATATATATTAGCGGTGCACCGAAATTGAAATGTAAAAACCGAAAAAAAAAAATTTGTCAGGCCGAAACCGAAAATGTTTAAAAAAAAAAAAAAAATATAACATTTATTTTTTATAAACTTTTAAAACATGTTTTATATTTAAATTTCAAAACCGAAACAAAAAATTGTCAGGCCAAAACCGAAAGTTTTTTTATTTTAATGTATTTATTTTTTATTCAATATTTATTTTTTACTTTACTTTTAGGGGCTTCGGAGAAATATTAGGGGTCTAAACAGACCCCTGATAATTCCCCTTCTAAAATAGACAAAGAGATTGAGGACACAAAGTCCTCGATCTCTTTTTCTGTATCCCCTGTTATCAATGAACAGGAATCCTCTATGAGTGTTCCTGTTCATTGATAACTTGAGAATATAGTATGTTTACTATAACCACAAATATGAATGAACAGGAAGGATTATAGATCACTTCACATTCATTCATAATTGAGGCTATAGTCCACATACCATATCCTCAATTATCTACACTCAGCGATCACTGAGTGTTTGCTCTCGCTCTCTGACACGCTGTCGCAGGAGGCTGATGGAGCAGTGCGGGAGGAGAGCCCAGCCCCGTGACAGCGCTGTCTCCACCCCCACACCGCTCTGCCGGACTGCGACAGGCGGCTGAGCGGTGTGGGAGGGGAGACACCAGCAACTCACAGCGCTCTCGTCTCGCAGTCACTTTCTTTCCTCCCCGCTGGGACACAACAGCGCCCAGCGGGGAAGAAAGAAAACTGGGATGCGCCGATGTATCGGCACAGAAATGGCACTTTCGGCATTTAGCCAAAAGTACAATTTTCAGCCGATATATCGGTGCATCTCTAATAGATATAGATAGATCTATATATATATATATATATAGATCTATCTATCTAAGCAGTAGGTTGGCTCCCTCTATGGGTCGATGTCAGTCTGTAGGTGGGTGCTCCTAGGGAGAGACTTGCATGCAGACTGCCCTAGGTAAGGCCCAGGTGATGCAGAGCATTCGTATGCAATTAATTAAATGGTCAAAGTATGGACAGTCCAGCTAGAGGGTAAAAAGGCTATAATATGCTGGATGCCCTCCAGCCAGGAAAAACACTGACTTGCTAATGTACATTATATGAAGCTCAGTGTTCAGTGAGATCAGGGTAAGACTGAAGGTAAGGCTGGAGTTCAATTTTAACTTTAGTATCTGTGAAGGGCTGCTTCAGAGACAGCCAACCCAACTGATTGGAGAAGAGCTCTGATGAAGTCATCATAGGAACTCTTAAGATGCAACATGTACCAGAGACCACTTTAGAAGGTAGAAAACCTTGCAGTATCAGAAAATCTTGTTAAAATCATCTTTAAACCTGTATCTGCAGGGTCTATCATTAAAATACCATGTAGGATTTTTAAAATACATGATCTATTATTTGCAACAGCATGGAAATGTTTTCTGTTGCTTACCTTAATGAGAACAAACACCAGAACGGGGACAAAATCGTCAGCTCCTGGGACGGAGTATTCATTGGCAAGGCTGAGAAGATTCATAATTGTAGAACACATGCGTAGAATGCACTGCACCTTGTCCCTAGGGGTCTTATAAGCACTAATAGTTCGTATCTCAGCTTGAGCTGAAGGCCAGGGAGCTTCCCTCAGGTAAACCTGCAGCATATACAAGATAAAAAAACATGAGTTCATACTAAGGCATGTGGCACTAAACAATATTTATTTTCTCCTACAAACATATGTACAAAGAGGAGACAAAAAATGTGAAGCGATACTGTAATTTATTACATTACTGAGAAACGCCCACATACTGACCTCAGGGATCTGAAGAGCTCTGTGATTAGAGAATACTACTTTAGACAGTCTTTGGATGTGTTCATGTAAAACCCTGTTGAAGGGGAGAGAGTGTTATTCCTTGGGCTCATCTTAAACATATTCAAGAAACACAAACTAAAATAGCAATGTTGTTTCGTTTTTACGCTTGCCTGTGGGAAAACTATGCACAATTTTCCTCTCAGTAGATTTACCTTCTAGAGCAGGGGTAGAGAATTAAAATTTAAGGTGGTCCGGTGAATAACATTTTCATCTAGCTGAGGTCCGAATCACATGTTCATAACGCCCCCCGTCTGTTACATGTATATACCTCAGGGGTCTCAAACTCAATTCCCTCCTGGGCCACTTGCCAAATTTTTGTCTCCCATTGGGGCTGCTCGCCAAATTTCAAACTTTAAAAAGGAGAACTATGAGGTGAGTGATTTCCACTCAATCTCATAGTTCGAGCCGACGTGTGACAATGAAACTGTCACAGGTCGGCTCAATAGATCGGGAAGTGAGCGAACACATACCGTTGCTCGCTCACTTCTCCATCCTGTCCCTGCAGAGAACGGTGACTGTCAGTCACCGCTCCCTGCAATGGATTCCCCCTCTCCTCCAGCGCTGACTGGCGGAATGGACGGGGGAGGGAGGGCACAGCTGCGGTTAGAAAACACTCTCCCTGGATACACAATTGCGTCTAGGGAGAGTGATTGACTCCTAACTGAATGTAATAATAATCACATATCATTGCATGCGGTGTGCAGGAGTTTACATGCAACTGCTGTCACCTGATCATTAACTTGAATGGGCGACAGCGTGTACACACCAGATTAGGAATTCCTGCAGCAGGAAACGCATGTTCCTGATGCAAGAATCCCTAATTGCACCTAAAGATACAGGTGTGAATGGAGCCTAAATACACTTATCCCCTCCCCCCCCCTTCACATAAAAAAAACCTTTCCCTGCACATAAAATAACATACCCCCCCATCCACATGAAAAAAATACCCACACACATTTTATATATAGATATATATCTATATAGATATGACTGTAATGACTGTAAAGGAGGGGGCTGTGCTGAGTTATGGCCCAACTGAGGCCGGAGATCGCGGGGTTAAGAGAACCGTCACTCTGTCTGCGTCCGGACCGCGACCAGCAATTTCAAGTCTGCTATTTCAAGTTTGATGTTTCAGGCCAATTAGACCTGGCTAATGTGGTTATTTTATTTTTTTAAGTGGTCCTTCTTCTAAAAACCTTTTAAAAGCTTTAAACAAACATTTTAAAGCAATAAAGCTTTATTTGTCTAGTGGGTTTGGAATGCAAATATTGACAAGTTAACACCAAGACCAAACTTTGTGAATGCAGACAGAAAGTGGTTTCTCCTGTGGCAAACTCCAGATAGCCTTAGCACATGTCTGCAAATCTCTCTCAACCAATTCACCAAACGTTTTGTGTATCCAGCTAGCCAAAACATATGTCTGAACAGGAATCCAGTGTTCCGTGGCAGATATATGGTTTATCAAGTACCAGTGCTGTCACATGGAGTAAGGAAAAAGCAGTCTCTTTAAATCTGTAGGTATTGGATGTTTTTCTGTGCTTTCCTGGCTCATTCTAACCAAACAGAATAGTGGAGGCAAAGGGAAGATGAGGCTGTCATGGGGGCTACTGTTATAGTGAACCTATGGTTTACAAAGTATAGATTCACATTAAAGCTCTGTTGCCTGCTAAAAGCTAAGAACAAAACATAGAATGCAGGTGACTACAAGTAAAAATGTGCATCTGCACACACTTTTCAACAATCAACTGCCCTAAAGGCAATCACTTATTTGCCTTGTCCCCGAAACAACTCACTGATCACGAAGATCATCTGCATCCTGATTGGGGTTGAAGGCCAGCTTGAAAATGCGATTCATCACACTCCTCTCTATCGCAGTCTGGGCATCCTGAAGCTGTTCCTCACTGGCATTTTGCCAGATGACATCCTGGGCCATTGCACCATACAGGGACTGCAGGAACTCCTCAACCTGTGCAGTTTTGTCATCAGCAGCTGTCAACTTCTGGAATTCTGAGGAACAAAAACATAACCAGTCTAGAACAAGCCCAATTTGCAGAACCCCTCATATCCCACAGTTGCTATACAACCTGGCCACTGGCAGGAAAACGGCAGACGGAGGTATTACAAACCATTTAAGCAAGCATTATAGAACTTCACTCCAGATCAAAACACCATATACTCCAGGACATATACAGAAAGCATAACCCTAGATAGAATATTTATAGCTTCCATAATGGTCCACAAAGAAGATGCATTCTCTAGTCTGCCTGGTTTCCTGCACTGCTTGCTGCATCTGTAAAGGAGTAGGCTGCTGCTACATAGTATATGTCCATATTCCCTTGACTTGAGTGGCAGGTCTTCATCACAGTGCAGCCTCTGGGTGCACTAGGAAACAGTGAGCTGAGATGAGGCAAACATCTTTTTTGGGAAAACTGGGTGCTCATATATATGTAGGCCTCAGGAAGGTGCATGAACTACAACGGCAAAGAGTGCAGAAGAAAAAAAAAAATCCTTGAGATGAGGGTCCAGCTATTTATTAACCACTCTCCCAGCCAAGGTTTCATCGCGCCACTTCCATCCTGACTAAGGCTGTGATCGAATCTCAACATTTTTATTTCCTTTTTCATGTTGCAGTGCATACACTCAGGACAAGAATGGCTTAAGTGATTATCAAAACTACAATGTGGTCTCATGACACCTGGTGGTAAACATGATCATGTCATTGGTGCCAAGTGAGGTTTTTAAAAAGCAGCTATACTGCTGTTTTCCTATGACAGTTTACTCTGGCACATAACACTACTAATGTGCGTTTTATCAAATGTGCATTGAGCTTCACTTGCATTAAGCAAGCAATTCCCCATTCATTCTTATTAATTTAAATAAAAAACCCAGGAGGTGGTAGAAATTTGTCTCAACATGTTCATATGACAGTTCTCCTTCTATAGTGTTACTGGAGGATATCAGAGGCTAAAAAGAATAAAACAAAAAATACAGGAGAAATGTGGCATATTTACACTGTGTGGAAAGAATAAACCGCACTTTTTGTTAGAAATAAGCTCCTTGGTTTTTGGATTGACAGGAGAAAGGTTAGAAGGTTAGAATGGAGGACCAGAGCTATGAGACAAGGCTTCTGACCTTAAAAATGTTTACGCTGGAATTAAGGAGGTTAAAGGGGGATATGATTTTCATGTACAAGATGTTCAATGGTGACAGCAACATTGGCAACACACTGTTTGAGATTAACTCCATTACAAAGACTAGAGGCCACCACCTAAAGTTGGTGGAGAAAAAATTCCAGCACAATGGGCGAAGAGGGTTCTTTACAGTAAGAGCGGTTAAGGTCTGGAACTCACTGCCATCGGCAGTGATTTCAGCCAAGAGTGTAGATTTGTTCAAGAAATGTTTGGACAATTTCTTGAGGGACTGTAATATCCAGGGATACCAGTATCCCTAAGAATGAGATGATGCGTGGACCTATTTGGGTTGGACTTGATGGACGTATGTCTTTATTCAACCCCAAATACTATGTAACTATGTAACCTCTGTCAGGTTTAAAATGCCAAGTCTAGAGAGAGGAATGCTGGTGTACAGACTCATAATTAGATTGGTGCATAATAGGCAGCATGTTTACTTGATGGATATAAGGACTTTGTAGATGGGAAGATCATCTTGAGGGTTATGAAGAACACTTATTTCTATGGAAGGAAAGCCTAATCTGGGATGCGGTCTTTGCAGGTAAGGAATAGTAATAATCCCTATTTTTAAATATTTACTCAAAAGAAAAAAAGTTTAATGCATCTAAAAGACTTCACCTCAAGGGTCACCAACCCTCTTCATCAGGGCTTGGGAGAGAAAAATCTGGTACAGAAAATTCAGTGGAGAATCATATGTACAAATAGTGAGCCCACAGTAAATGTCAAGCATACCCTTCTGCTTAGAGATTTTTCTCTTGCTGTGTTCCCAATGAAACTGAATGTTATTATTATCTCTACCTTGAATGAATTCCTGAATCTTCTTCTCTGTGCTTTCCAGTAACAGTCTAACACAGACAGTGGTGAAGTATCGGGTGGAAACTTCTTTATCGCGCAAAACTCTTTGCAGAAGTCGTTCAAGGTGAGCCTGAGTGCTCTGTAATCCTTGGCGACATCTTGTTAAATATGCAATATAGGAGGCTCGTTTCCTGTAATAAGCAACAAAAAGGGAATAAACTAAGCACAATCATTTTCATGCGCATAGTTGTGTTTTGTCTAGATGTACAATGTCATATTCAGCGAAATTCTACTTCACAAAGGTCTTTAAAAACAAATTACAAACAAATGTTTAAAAGCTTTAAGAAATGTATTATAGGTTCAAATGGTCACTTAAATAAGACATTTTCTTAAAGGAGATATCCTTGTTGGTGGGCAAATTTTCAGTAAACATCCAATTTTAATGCGAGTTAAAGTTTTGCTTCTGCTGAAGCTGTGGCATAACAAGTCATAGCAGCCCTCGTTACGACTATGGGGCCTGGGGTAGGATGGGGGGCCCCTTCAGGGAAGCTGTTAAGGAAAAAAAAACTGTTGGAGTTTCCAATAAACAAGGTCTGCAGTCAGACCTCAGGATCATGGTTAGTCCCAGGTCCCCCTCTATGCAGTAAGCATGCTGCAATCTGCTACAAGGCATTACAAGGCATTAGGTGGCCCCGCCAAAATTTTGCTTTGGGGTCCCATGATTTGCAGATACACCCAGTTCCAAATAAATTCCCTTTGATTTGTGTTTTTGCTTGGACCGTTCTCCTTTAAAAATACAAACACAAACTCACCAAATTAGTGGGATGATCCACTGCAATAACTCAGCTTTGAGAGCAATGATCATATTCAAGTTTTAAGATTTCTACTACAGGCAAAGAATTACAGGAAATGTGTGGGAAAGTGTTCTTACTGCTACACAGATGAACTGGCCTCCATTGGAAAGAGTGGGCCCATCATCCCACTGTTATTTGCACTGAGTAGCAGGCTGCAATCTGAGCATTTGGATGCAAGTTTGCTAGAGAACCAGTATAACTAAACGGCTGTGCATCAAAACCAGGATTCCATAACTGGATGGCACACCAGGTCAAATTTATCACTGAAGCTCCCATTTCTAATAAAAGCTGAGAGCCAAAACTCTTTTGTCACTACGAGAAGGGGTCATAGAAATACTATTTAGGTTTATTTTACTAGTCAACCAAATTGTGTATTTTAAAGTGGACGTAAAATCTGCAAAGTGGGCAAAAATCTTCAGAACCCCATTTTTTGAGTTGAAGAAATGACTGTTACATGCTCCAAAGACATGTACCGAGTTCTTACTTTGCTCCCACGGGTGGTAACAGAGTGTTTACCCCCAGTGTTGTTAAAGCCAATGCCATCTTTAAGGTTTTTGGGCCGCTCCTTTCCTTCCACCCTTGATGGACATCAGCAAATCACGGACATGCGCCAAACAAAAGGTTTTGTTATTTTACCAATCGGGAACAGATTCATGAGAGTGAGTGCCTATGCTGGAGATTTGTAATAATGTTATCCTGGATGCTATTTGCATTTTGGTATGGCCTGGATTTTGAGATTGTGGATTTAACTATGCATGCACTGCTGATGGCATAGAGAAAGAAAACAACAATATCTGAGGAATGAAAAGCCATCGGTGGATGGGGATAACAAAACCAGTGAGTGTGTATAATAGGTTTTTAAATAAGGACAACTTGCTATGCTGTCTTTACTTCTGCTTTAATTTCACAGCCTAAAAGTATGGTAGACAGTATGTGACAGACTACATGCAGGGCAGAATTCCTTTACAGAATTATTACTAGTCATCCATACCTATAGTCCTCTGCAATGGACGTGAGAATCTTGCTGCATGTCCGGTGGTCAAAGCGGCTTACGCAGCGCATGGTTTCCTGAATCTGAGCCATAAGGTTCTTGTCCTGTAGGTTTATAGCCTCAGCCAGCTGGACTTTCAGGAAGCAAACAATCTCATTGTCTGTGTTAAAAGACATTAAACATTTTATAATTGCTTATTCAAAAGAAACCAGAAAAAAAACTAGGCCCAAGTTTTCCTTTCCCAAAGTCAACTGAAGATTTGAAAGGGTAATTTAGATTAAAAGGCAAAACCTTAAACTCAGCAGCAAAAAATAACAATGCAAAGGTTCTCTGCAAAAATTGGAAAACATGCCTATCATGACCAATCAGATTTCTTATTTTATTCAATTGTGTAACGATTAGTACAGCTAGTAGTAGTTACCCACATTCAATTAGATTTGTTCTGTAATGTTGAAGACTTATCTAAACAGCTTCTTCAGGTCTTTCAAATCAAACGTTTTTATTGTTTTACAGTATATATTACAGAACAACTCTAGTTGAATTGAGCTAATCTATTACAAAACAAATCTAGTTCGATTTGGCTTTACCATGACCTGGAAAAATGAGAACTTTTACAGACATAGAAGAGTATTGTAAACCTGCGCACATACCTTCTGGATCAGTATGATCTGGCAGACCATTCCGTGTGGAGTGGGATAGCATTGGAAAAGCAACAGAATCTGCAGAACACAACGCTAATCGCAACTTCTTCTTGGCATCTCTATAAAGAGAAAAAAGGTATCGATGTAAAATAGACGGGTTGTGTATTTATTTAATTTAATCCATGGTAAGGATGAGCCATACACATCTTTACATCAGCCTGAAACTTTCTTCTACACAGATCCACTAACTACTCAGCATTGTGGTACATAGGGCAAACCCTAGGAATAAGCAGCAACTTAGCAAATTACTATATATCATTACTAATTTGCTGCAATGAATGAATGTAGTAGGACTTTAATTTCCCATGATATGATTTCTTGTTTATTTAGTACTGACATGTTATCCAGGGCTTTGCAGCGTATATAGATTAAAATAAGTCGTCCTCTCCATAAAAAGCAATACCCCTACCACCTACACAGCGTGACCTATCTGGGTGAAGTACTATTAACACAGTATTTTTAGACAATGGTTTAGAGACAGAACATATATAAAGTGAACCTGATATGAAGCCAATGACTTAAATACATTTTTTAAGTGCCATCAACTCTATGTTGACTCCTGGCGACCACATGCATAGAACTGCAATGATATGTTCATACTTTCTGTGACTGTATCTAGCCACTTTAGTTTGCGGATCGCCTTTAACAAACATAACTGTCTTTTCCAGTGCGTTGGTTGTAATGTGAAGATAGTTTTCTGGGCCTCAAGTAAAAAGGTTGCGTCCGACCTGCTGAAGGATCCATTTGTTTCCTTTCACTCCACAATATCCTTAGAAACCAAAAGTCTAAAAGGCACTAATAATTTTCCTATTTGCTGTATTCAATAAATATATCCCCCTTTAACAAGTCATCAAAAACACTTGTGCATGCCTGGTGAGCCCCTCAAAACCCAAGGGAACATTTCTCTCACCGAGCCCAAAACATGTTAAGATTAAAGAATTTCTGTATGGAGGGAAATATTTGGGCTGAAGTTAGAACTTTTGATCTGCATACCCATTCCAGATCAGTGACTCAAAGTACGAAGACCCCGGATCAACATGACAGCCAGGTAAAGGGCATTTTTCGAAGAAGCCAGCAAGTGGCAGAAATAATATTCTCTTAGTAAAGGTTTTCTTTAATTAGACTTCACCAAAATCATGTCTTCCTCCCTATAACTGTGATTTATACATGAGAGCTAGGGATAACTTGCTGGCAGTGTTTATATACTTTTATATGTAAAATGCTGGCACTATATAAATACCCAACACGTAACGGCCTCACACAGTGGTATTTCAGAGAATACACTACCTCCCAGCTAAAGACACTCTAAAGGTTTGCATATACCTATAGGAAAAAGCAGAGTCAGGAGGAGGAGCAGTCTGGCTAGCAGAATCTGGGAGGTCATCCGATGTCATGTTCTGTAATGCTTCTTCCCTTGGAGAATCATGAAGACTTTCTCCATCACCTGCTACGTCTGCAACAAAGAGTACAATAGTCAAACTGCGGCTGAAATAATTCAATGTCCATCAATTTCATAGTGTAGACTCTGGGTTACTCCAGAGGGTAAAACCAACATAACTTGTCATATACAACACAATATTTTAGAAATCATGATGATTTCAGTAACAAATCTGGAAATCTAAAGCAATCATCGCAGAGATCTTCCTGTTTGATTTGGATATCTTGCTTTTGCTAGCAGGCCATTCATTAAAGTAACACCTGGTTGATTAACCACTTGCTGACCAGGTCATTTTTCGGTATTTAGCGCTGCAGTATTTTGACATTTATTCCGTCATGCAACACTGTACTGAAAATTTATTTTATACCATTTTTGGGGGACAGATAGAGCTTTCTTTTGGTGGTAATCACCACTGGGGTTTTTATTTTTTAATATATTAAGGAAAAATTACTGAAAATTTTGAAAACTTTTTTTTTAACGTTATGTTAGGAAACAATGATTACCCAATTTTTTTGGTAAAATATAAAAGACGGGGTCACGTCGGGTAAATAGATACCAAACATGTCAAGCCTTAAAATTGCGCACACCCACAAAAATCAAAAAAAAACTACCATACCCAAAATTGGCCATAGGCGACGCTTTAAAAGCTTTTACCGCTCATCAGTGATTAATGGCCCTAGAATTATTGCTCTCACTGCGATGTTCGCGGTGATATGTAACATGTGCGGAATAATGGGCGCAATCGTCATTTTCGCACGTATGCACACCCGACGTATGTATGGGTGGGGACTTTAAAAAAATTTTGTGTTTTTTTTTTTCTTTTTCATGCGCGACTTTAAAATTTATTTTTTGCAACTTTCATTTTTTTTTCCACTTAGCCCCCTATGTGATAGCAATAACGTTAAGAAACCCTCTAAGCGATAGCAAAGAGATGTGACAGGTCCACTTTATGGAGACATCAGGGGTTTCCAAGACCCCTGTCACCTAGGGACCCCCCAAAGAAGCTGATGAAGTAGAGATCTGCTTCATCAGCTTTTCTCCAGCTTCTGAAGCCGGAGAATGACACAAGAATGCGGAAGTGATGACACCGGAGAAAGATCGTGTACCAATCAATCTCCCTCTGATTCCCTCACACAGAATAACCATGATGGTCCCGGGCTCACACCGGGCAGCCCTGTGGGGCCAACGGGGAGGGGGCACACGATCGGCACCTTATACAAGCGATCCGCGGATTGCATGTATGTAAACAGGCATCGCTGACCGTTTTTAAATTCGGGCAGTTTCCCACGCGCCAGTGGGCGGGGCCAACAGGCCGTCTTTAGATCCAGGATGCTCCCGCCGGCTGCATTATATAGAATGGCCGGCCGGTAGGCGGTTAAAGAAGAAAAACTTTTCAATGCAAAAGTTATCTGAACTCTGCCTGCTCAGAAAGTCATGTGAAGAAAGTGTATATGAACCAGGAGCTTGTTTAGAGAGCTGTGATTCATGGCTGGAGTTCCACTGGGCATTTTGATGCTGGCTTCACACTTATGCATTTTGATTGGTAAAGCAATAGGTGCTTTAATTTTCATAAGCCCCTCAACATACATTAATGATGCAAAGATGTGAACCAGGCCTAAATGAAGTAAAAATATTTTTATAATGAAACCAAAAACCATCTTTGTCACCACATGTGTATGCACTCCAACTGCATTCCAGTTTAGAGTATTGCAATAAAAGCAGTAATTTAAATGTAAATAGGCAGCTATTTAATGGAGAATGATGGGATGTGGAAAAGGTATAAGTGCCCTTTCATATCTGTCCACTCCGATATGTTATGTTGAACACAAATGTGCACTGTGGCAAGGCATTGATTCCAAATGCAACAGTGCAAACAGTAAAATATTCCTGCACATGTTTTTTCAGTTACCATGTACCACAATGCACGGTTGTGTTTCAGTATGTTATGTTGTGCTGCAATGCAGGTGCGTCCAAAATGAATGACCCTGCAAGCACCAACACAGCATGTGTTACTGCATCACAATGGTGTGAATCTATCCTTACACCTCTTGATTGTCAAAACAAATTAATCTAATTGGTAGTGCTGTCTTGTGCCAAAGTGTTGCCTATACATATTTGTATTTTCTCTAGTGTGTGGTTTAAAATAAAAACTATGTTTTGGCAACATTATAATAGTATTACAAAATACAGCTGGAAGACTTAAATCAATAACAATATGCATTTATGTATTTTACCTGCTCCCTCGTAAGGTACGGCAGTTCCATCATTCGGGCTTGTCCTTTTGATAGCATTTCTGTACTTATCGAGAATATCCTCCGCAGCTTGAGAATGGGAACCTAGCCTTGATGTTGCATCTTCTGAAGAGTTAAAATCATTATTAAACAACCATTAACAGGACTCCAATATGAACAGTAAATGCTGAAGGCACTAAACCCATACCTGGCATGGAGAATCTGTCTGGCCCCAGTTCCTCTTTCTCCTTTTCTTGTTTTTCCTTTTTCCTGAAAGGGATAGGAGCTGAAAAAACATGAGATAAACATCAACATTATCCTTTTATGTTATTTGTCTTAGGGTAAATAGTGCTGACAGATCATGAATGTGCCAGTCCAGATTTCATTTTGTTGGGCCACGAACCTAAAGAAACACGGTCACCTTGCCCATGCAGAGACGTTTGCAAAAACTGCTATTAACTTAAGTACTTACTAGAAAATTCAAAGTAATTTCAAGGTCAACAAGTAGTTTTTTTTAGAAATAGGTCTTCCTACTTTCCCAAGTGGAAAGCTACTTCTTTAATAATCAGTTTTGTAATGCTAAAAGTGGACATTTACCCCCTTTCACATAAAATCGCATCAGCAGGCAGCTCTGCAAACGCATGGGGGGGGGGAATTATCAAAACGGGAGCAGTTGCTCAGGGCGACCAATCAGCTTCTCTCCTCAGTTAAGATTTGAAAATGAATAAGATGCAAGCTGATTGGTTGTCATGCACAGCTGCTCCAGATTTTATCTGCTTCCGTTTTGATAAATTCCCCCCATAGTCTTAAACTTGCTGCGACTTTGCCACGTCCTCTATGGGCGTGGGGAACCAGGCGACTTCCATTGGGGAAAATGGGCCTTAGTTTCTGGATCATAACAACCCATGATTCATCTCCAGTTATGACCTTCTTGAGGAAATCTGGTTAATTGGTAGGGGGTTTGAAGCAAGTCATTAGCAACTGCAGCATCTTCCTTCTGCTCTGGTAGCAGGAGCCACAAAACTGCTACGAAATTTTGCCACGACGCGTTTCATGCTAAGATCATGCATCAAAATCTCGGACACAGTTGTTTTTGGAATCCCCATATCAGCTTCTAGTTCTCACACTGTCAGTAGCTGAACTTTGCTGAGTGCACCCCATACACGTTCAACATTCTTAGGTGTTCTGCTTGTTGCAGGTCTTCCAGAACGTGGATCACTTTCAACAGATGCTTGACCTTCTTTGAAGTGTTTGTGCCACACTTTTATTTGTGTTGCACTCTTTCCATCATTCTGAAAGCCTTCCGAATTATCCGACTAGCTTCCGCGGAGGAATGTTCAAGCTTAACTCAAAATTTTATGCAGATTTGTTGCTCTACTCGCTCAGTCATTTTGAATGCGAGGGCCACACACACTTTTAAATCAAATGTCTTTGGTTACCTTTTGGCATTGCAGACACAAAGCGCTTCCTCCACCATGGTTTGTTGCGATCTGAGCGTTCATCATCACTGTCCTTCCTTTCTTCTGGCTGAAATGATAAAACCAATTACAGATTTTAAGATACCTATTACGGTACTTGTTACATATGTCGCTTGCCTTCCACATTTCTCTAAATACCATCCACTTTCAGACAAATTTATTGATAACTGTCTGAGATCTTAGAAAAAAAAAACCCCATAATTGATGCAGGAGACAAACCTCTCCCCTTGAGGAGTCCTTGCTTGGTGAGGATGATGAGGATTGTGAGGCATTGATGGCTGATGTTGCTCCTAAACCTGCTACACCAGGTGGCAGCTCCCTCTCTTCGTTTCCTATTCGTCGTACCCAGCCAGGATCACTCATTGGCCGTCGTATGGATGTTGCAATATCTGAGCTGCGGCTCCGCACCAATCTCTCTGGGCAAGAGTGTCTCTGTCTATAAGCATCAGAGTCCGTGGGAACAAAAACGTGGGATCCAAATGTCGGCAGTCGAGCCTCATTTCCTCCTGCTGTTCCTTCCAGAATGGGGGGATCTGGCGGTGGGTGGGAAGGGCGAGGATAATGGAATTTTGGCCGCACCACTAAAAGGGGTAAGAAGATAACAAAAATGTAATATGTGGGAAAGCCTCAAAGTAAGCACAGATACTGACGTTACCTTATTTGCTTTCTTCTGGTCTGTTAAATACACAATCTATAGTTTTTTTTCTTATATCTGTTCGATAAGTGCAAAGAAATGACTATTGATCCTGATAGAAATTCACTGCAGTCTGCGGTGTTATGTCAAGCAGTCTTATCAGGCTCTCTCTGGACTACAGAATACCTGTACCTTATGTTATGAGGAGGAGGAGTTCTGTCTAAAGGTGACAACGCTGCTCCTTCACAGATAAGGGAGCGTAGTCACCCTACGTCAGGAAGTGGGTTACTGACAGGATCACCAGGTGAAAAGAAAGGGGGGAAAATCTGAACTAATGCAGCCACCAAACCAAAGAACTAGTAGGCTGCAATATATTACACTTTCCTTCTTTATTTTAGATACACTTTCAGTTAGTATTATTAGAGCACATTTTCCTTCTGCAAACCTTGAAATTGAAGTCAAATTTAAGAACATTCCCCAGAACAAAATCTCCCCGCCTATAAAAAATACCTTGTGTAAGTAATCACCCTAATCAGAAGATCTGGGGCTTTTATAGGTTCATAAATACACCACCTACATATAAAATCATGCATATATCATAAATGAGTCAAAAATATGTCATCACTATTGTGAGCACATAAAAGATTATGCAATCTCCTAATGTCAAAGAAAAGAAAATGCCAAGGATAAATAGCTTTTCTGAAGAAGCAGCCATCAACCATGATATGCGTGGTATGCTCATCTCCCCATCGGACCAGGTTTTATGTAATTTATTATCCTTATTTATTATTTGGATCCGCTGCCTCTCATTTTTTTTTTATATTAGCGAGACTCTTTATATTTGAAATACACAATTCTATTTTGCACTAGCAGATTTAAACATCCATAACATATATTTTTTTGATTTTACTATATTTAGGATACTGTATTTACCCCTGAAATTTACTTATGTTTGAAATAAGATCACAGATTTTTTGACTCACAGAAGTATTTATCTTATATACACGATTTATATGTAGGTGGTGTATTTAAGAATGGTCTTCCGATCATCAATATGATCTTGGTCTCCTAAGGCAGGGCTCAAAATCCACTCGCCTGCTCGCATTTGGCGAGTAAAAATAAAGTGAGGGCGAGTGGAAATTTGGGTCTCCAAGTACCGGTCCGCAGGCCAACCCCGCCCCGCTAGCCGGTACTATGTGGCCCGCAGCAAGCTGACATGTAAGAGGCACACGGTCGCAGATCGCGTACCTGACTTGCGGGAGCAGCTCCACGGTCTGCATCGGATGCAGATCGAAGAGCAGCTCCTGTCAGCTCCGGCTTCCTTCGGCCGGAGCTCTGACAGTATTGAGCTCCGGCCGAAAGATTTAAAATCCTGTACGATCTGCCCATCTTGGACAGGCAGATCGTACTTGCGATCATCGCTGAGGGGATGGCTTCCGATGATTGCAGTGCTGAGCGGGCACACACCGGCAAGTGCAGCATTCGTCTTCCGACCACGCCACCAACCTGCCACAAATCGTACGATTTTCGTCAGGTTTTCCAACGTGCTTGAAAGACAAATTATTATTCTAAGAAGACCTCACCAGACCAAAGTTCTATCAACTGCCCAGTGTATTGGTACCTCACAATCTAATACGTAAAATGTATAGCTCTTACAATCACATCAACTAAAGTGCTTTAAAAGGAGAACTATGAGGTGAGTGATTTTCACTCAACCTCATAGTTCGAGCCAACATGTGACAATGGGATCTACAGAAATGCAAATGTATATATTTGCAAAATATTGGGACGTATTTAGTGATTTAAGCAGCTACTTAGTTTAAACTGAAATCCTATAGTAAAGAGAAACTTCAGTCAAACAGCTAAATCCACATTTGCATTCCTTACAGGTTAAGGATGCACACGCACCAAAATCATGAGGTACTTGCAAGTCAACGGAAGGGCCATTGACTTGCGATTGTACCTTCTGATTTCCTTCCGATCCATTGCATTGTCACGTCTTTTTTCTTTATGTGAAGCAACATGCCCTGAGTGGACATATTTCACTGTAATGGATTGTGATACGTTGCGTTAGCGTGCTTTGGGTTGAAAAAATGTAGGCCATGCTCTATTCTTTTTCAGAGCAACGTACAGCAACACAATGCAGAACTGCGGTATGAACTGCCCCCATTCACACCCATTCATTTTTTCATTGTCCTAGCGTTATTATCTGTTAAAAAATGTATGGTAATGCAACAAAACAGATCCAGTGTGAATGGGGTCTTACTGATTTACCTGCCAAAGAAATGTGTTATTTTGCATACCAATCTTAAGAATTACACACACTGTCCACACTGCAAAGACAGGTGACACAGTATTTTCTGATTAAGCAATCTGTCTTTTGCTCTGGTTCTACTTTGAAAAACTGCGAAGTGAAGTCTCCATAACGCTACTTACTATGCACACAGTCCTCTACTTCAGGACTTGTTACTGAATCCTTTCCTCCAAAGTCCGAGCTACATTCTGAACGTACGTCTTCAATCTTGTTGGGTATATCCTCTGATGTAGCACTGATGCCTGGAATAAAGACAGGTAAGTTGGTTTCTGAAGACACCTGAAAGTCCAAATTTGGAGAGATACGGTCACAGAGTAAGCTAGAACAGTCTTATACCTGACACAACGCTCAGTCCTGGGGTACTGGGCCTTGAGCTGACCTCTCTCACCTCGGTGTCATCTGATGTACTCCCCAGCCCAGAACAGCTTTCCAGCTCCTGGAGCCTCTCCTCCTGCTTCAAGTCTTGTGCTTCTAAGAAAAAATAGCTTAGGTCATCAAGAGGTGTTTCTGCTCTCAACTAATTGTTGTAGCTAAAAAAATAGGACACAAGTGCACCTTACATAAAAAGAACAGCTTAGCATTGCAACTCACCAGAATCACTGGGAAGCACCTCTACACTCCATGCCTCACTGGTGGTTTCTGAAATAGTGGATCCTGTGCATGGATCAAGCAGTAAAGAACCAGAGCCCGGGAGACAAAGCAAACTGCCAAGCATATTCTCTGCAGCTGCACCTAAAAACATGATGTTGAAACCAAAAAGGGTCAGTTCAAGCTAGGACTAATATTTATATTTTAACTGATCCTGCCAGTAATACATTTATTGTCCTAGAGTGACAATGCTTACTCACTGTACTGCATTAGGGCAGCAAAGTACACGTCCCTCTTCTCAACTCCATAACTAAGAAAGAGGTGTTCTATAGCTCACAGTGAAGAACAAGGAAGAGTTAATAACACTGCTTGAGATAACACTAAACAAGTAACAGGACAGCACTGGATTTCTGGCAGGATCGACAGGTTTTGCTTTTCACTCACCTCATAGTTCTAGCCGAACTGTGACAATGGAACTGTCACAGGTCGGCTTAGTAGATCGGGAGGTGAGCGAACACATACCGGCGTTCGCTCACCTCTCAAACCTGTCACGGCTCTCTGCCATGACAGGGGATGGGCTGGATTCCCCCCTCCGATGCGCCAGCGCTGACTGGCGGAACGGGCGGGTACAGCTGGCTCAGCCTCTAGATAGGCAGAGCCAGCTGTCAGTCACGCAGCTGGGCAGATCCAGACATAATTGTCGGGATCCGCTTCAGCTGCGGCGTCTCAGTATACCGCGAGCAGAAGCTCGCGGTATACTGAGCCTAGGGTGACGGGAGGACGCTAGTTTGTGTCCTCCCGTTACCCTGAGAACTATGGGGAAAAGCCTTAACCCCATAGTTCTCCTTTAACAGATCAAAAGGGAGCAAATAAGAGAAATTCATTGTTAGGGTTTATACACACTCACCAGTACAGTCTGCCAAGGCTCAGCCATTGTGTATATTTCGATTAATCGAACAGGAAATTTTTAATCATTACCAGCCCTATGTAAATTGGCTGCTAGCAGAAGACACAGTGGCTATATTGCAGCTTAGCCTTTATAAAATAATCTTGTGTAGGGGGAAAAAAATGTGTTCTATCAGCTACGGAAACTAGCAAAAACTGAGGCCTCCTGGGAAGTGGGAAGGACTATATGGGGGCTGTGCACAGCTCTTTTCTGCCAGTTTCCAAATGACCTGAAGGTAGCTGCATATAACTCATTGGTCTAAGAATCCCGTGTCCTGTATGTTACAATAAACATATGTTTACAATTTTACTGTCAAATGATTTCTCATTTTATCCAGCCATTCTTGTGAAACCTCTGTGCAAAAGGGTCTGTTTAAGTGTATTTTGTGGGCTGGTCATTTGGCAGACTCCTTTCTGTTGACTAAACCAACTTCAAAATAGGCTATTTGTACCAACAGGGTGAGTCCAGCAAACTTGGGCGAGTTCAGGTTTGGGTGATTGGCACAGCAGAGGAGCACTATTATATTTCTGGTACTACGGAACCACTCTTACACCAGTGGTAACAAAAGATTGTATGCATAACTTTTCCAAGGTCTGAATTATTAAAATCATGCAATCACCTACAATTAAACAAAACGTACACTACAGTGAGCTAGCTATCACACAACATAGAAAACCAAAAACAAAAGATGGCAAGTAACATGTTCCTACAGTATACAAACCGTATTTTATTCAGCACTTTCTCTAAACTACCAATCTGTTCACATAATCTGAGCCAAGGACTCCCACTGTGACATTACTGTGCAATCATACTCCGTCTGGGTCAAATGCCAAGGACTGAACACTTCCTCATTTAAGAAGCAATTAAATAAACTCAACTGCAGACATGCGGTAATCTTACAACAATGAATAAACATATTCCAAACACAAGGATTAAGAAAGTATAAATGATGGAAACACATGAAACAAATTACACATTTATTTTTAGGATGTTCATTTCCAACATAAACTAGTTAAATACAGACTAAACAGCTGTGTGTACATCATTATAGTGTCAGCAGCCACTCAATTAGGTAGGCATGCTGATTAGTGGAAATCGCCACAGCATACCTCAATACACGAGACATGAAAACATGGCTAAGAGGTTCAGTAGGACAAAATGTTAGAGTGGGGAAGATGCAAGAGATGCAGGGAGCTACATGGGAGAACCCCTGTACAAAATAAATCAAAGAGTGAGAGGCCAACGGTCCCTGGCTTTCAACATTATCAATAGTCGGAAGTCCCTAGCCTCACACCAAGTGAAGTATGCCTTCCATGTCTGAAGATCTGTGTGAGAAGTAGACTTCATAGATTTAAGTAGAAATCACAGACTCAAATGCCCTGTCGCTTAGAACCTGGGCTTCAACAGTCATGCATTAAAGTGGACCTTTAGCCATATCTTTAAAAGGAGAACTATAAATGTGAGTTAAAGTCACTCATCCTCAAAGTTCAAACTAACATGTGACAATGAAACTGTCACATGTCAGCTCAATAGATTGGGAAGTGAGCGAATGCATACTGTTGATCGCTCACTTCTCGATCAGCTCCCTGTAGAATGCCGTGACCATCAGTCATGGCTCCCGGCAGGGATTCCCCCTCCACCTCCCTGATCCTCCAGCGCTGACTGGAGGAACGGACGGGGGAGGGGGCGGGTACAGCTGGCTCTGTCTCTAGATCGGCAGAGTCATCTGTCATTCACGCAGCTGGGTGGATCACAACAGCGTTGTTGCGATCCTTCCCGGCTGCGGTGGTCTCAGTATTTTGCAAGCTGTAACTCGCAATATACTGAGCTTTGGGTCACAGGAGGACACTAGTCCTCCCGTGACCCTTAAGAGAACTATGGGGAAAACACTTACCCCATAGTTCTCTTTTAAAATAACAACAAACACACATTTAGAAATGTTTAGTGATGACAATCTACAAAACACATAGATAATTGCAGGCTTTGTATTCTTTGCATACCTTATTTCTCTTTCCTTCCCCAGTCTCTTGACAGTGGTCATGTTTATCAAGGGCAGATTACTAGCTCTCCATTTAGTTCTTGCATTTCTGGCACATGTGACCATGCACATCGTCTCAGGGGAGGAAAATGCCTTTCCCGGAGATCTCATGAGATCACAGATGAGATTTCACGGCAATGCCCGCCGATGACTAGTGATGGCCTCGGGCGTGTTCATAGCTCCGCGTGCCGAGCCCGCCAGGAAGCTGACAATGCGCAGCGCCAATCACAGATACTGAGAAATTTTCCCGGTCCGCAGCTGCAGAGATCGGGAAATGTCTCAGTGCTTGTGATTGGCGCACTGTCAGCTTCCTGGCGGGCTCGGCACGTGGAGCTGCGAACACGCCCGAGCCCATCACTACTGACAAGGCAATCCCAGTGTGCATTGTTTTGTCAAACCGAGGTCTTTTTGCCCTTTCAAAGCAGGATGTGAATGCTCTGCCAGTGTAATTATTGCAAAATCACAGCATTTTACACCTGACATGCTATGTTATGATTAATCATTAAACAGAGGGTCGCATTGGTAGAATTAGATGTTTGAGTGTAAAGGTCCGCTTTAAAAGGTACTTTCTTTTTCTTCAGTTGAACTACTTCCCCTGCAGTCTGTGTCTGAAAGCTTTTAGCGCCTAGAATTCTAGACACTCATCTCCAATATGTTGGAGGTATATTTGACAGCTTGGAAATTCCAAGTCCCCTGCACAACTAGATCCTCGAAATGAGCCCCTCAACTAGAGAAGAAAATACTTACCTGACTACAGAGCTTGGTTCTTGAGCCACCAAGCCATGTACAACCTGGTCCTTGGTGACAAACAAATCAGTTGTTTCAGGGACAGGATTGATTTGTCCCACAACGACAGAATGTTGCATTGCAACACAAGATTCCAGTAACATAAACATCCAGCTGTTCTAAAATTAACACCCCCACTCCTGAAAACTCTGATCTCTCGTGCCTAACCGGACCATTCATATAGAAGCACTCTTCTCGCCCCCGTAGAATAAGGTACCATGAAAGTTCTTCCACTTCTGGGTATGACATTTGGCTCCACCCTAAGGGTTACAGCTATCAGGTGTCCACCCCTGACCACACTGCAACCCTGCACTGTTTATGTTGTATTCATTTATTCTAACTGTAGAGCGCTACACTACTGTTCTTTTGGTTTTCATGGTATAGTGTGTTAACCACATTTTTGTGTTGACTGGTTATTATTTGTCATTAGATTAACACAGAGTGTTTGTCTTTATACAGATACAGAATATGCAGAACAGGGTGTGAGAGAGTGCTTGTGGTCTCTGCGATCATAGTCTTCAAAAAACTGGATGATTTGGGCCACAAAGATGTGCATGACCAAGGTGAAAACCTCAGGCAAAAGGGCAGAGATGGAGCCAAACCAGACAGAGCTAAAGAGGTCCCTGGGGACAGAATAGACGCCAAGAGAATAGGGCAACATGACTGTAGGCTGCAGCCATCAGCCCCCTCAGTAAGAGTGCTGCAAGCAGCCCTCTAGGTTAGGGCTGGGGAAATTTGGTACAGCAGGATTGTACCCCCTGTGTCTGGCCCTTGTCAGCAGAAGCAGGGAAATGCTTTTTCGACACTATGTTGGAAATAAAAATTGAAACACACAGGACTCGTCACCCAGCAGATGATGTCTGCGTTCAGTCCCACAGCATTAACCCATTCTGTGGCAAAAGCAGCAGGTACAGGTAATAAAAGGCTCACAGTGACCTATTTAAATGAGATTTCTCTTGCTGCTCAGCTGGCCTACTCACTAATTGAGCCTCCAGAGGCAGGGCAAGTGCTGAGGCAATGCAAGCAGCCTAGAAAGTGCTCAGCAGCAGAACCCAGTGCCCGAAGGTCACTTCCAGGCTATGTCCGCATCTCCAGTCCAGAGGGGTCAGGATGAGCTTCTCTAAAAGCCAGCCTTAAGATGACTGCACCAGAAAAGTACAATCAACCAGCAGTGATGTAGAGAAGAGAGTCTTCAGTAAAGAAAAATGGAGCTAGCGAAAAAAATAAATAGTCAACACAGCAAATCTGACTAGGTGGTAGTGGGAAGGACCATCGTGGGCTGCCGTTCAGTTTTTTTTTTTTGGTTTGCCAGTGTCCAAACCTCTTGTAGGCAGCAGTAATACTGGAGGGTTTCCTTCAATGGACGAGAAAGAAAATACAATGCAAATAAAAATAAGACAAAGTTCTATCTGTTCTCTAATTTGTTAAAATATTTTGTTTTGGGGTTTTTTTGTTTGCTTCATGCAAACCTATGGCAATATTCTGTGACTTTATATGCCTTTACTCAACTAACAATTTGTCACTCACCTGCAATCTCTTGCAGTCGATCTTCATCAATGTTAGGGTCAAAGTCGCTGCCAAGAACATCGGTGCTCCATGTCTCACTGACAGTCTCAGAATAATCCCTGTCATCAGTTAACCCCATCATATCACGAATTTCAAACTTGCGTAGCTTATCATCAAGATTGTCTTGTGTGGTAGCTGAACACACAAAGGGATGTTTTAATTCACTGTGGCCAGCGGTGTATTGTCAGCACAATTATGAAAAGAAGATCTCCATCTCACCTTGTTCATGTTCCAACAGCTGCAGTGCTTCTACCCCATTGCTGCCTGATGGTCCAGCTCCCAGCTCTGACACTGACTCCCCAGTCTCTTCCATATCCAGAGAAGACACAGAGTTGGATCTATTTGAGGGACCTGTTGAACACGGATTTTCCTCTTCTGCTTTAGTGACATTTTCAACCAAATCACAAAACATTTGAAAACGCTCTCTCAGGGAACAAAAAACACTGTACAGCTGAGTATCAATGATATCTATATATCCCAATGTTTTTTAATACATCTTCTCTTCAAAAAATTATTGCTTGCAATAAATGTAATTAAACACAGAATAAACATGCACGGGGTAGTCAAAAGCAGAGAAAAGATAATTGGAGATGCTGACCAAGACAGCCAATCAATTAACGTTTTTTTTTTTTTTAATCAACACCAGAAAAAATTACAATACTAATTTGTTTGCTTTGTGCAGAACCCAATATATAGAGCAACAAAACCCAATAATTGTTCTTGTATATTGCAGCTTACCAATTACTAGATGTGGTGACTGCATTAGCTTTCATTTTTCAGGTAACTACACACCTACTGAAAAATACTTGTTTACCCTGATAGAGATTCAGTATGCTTGTAATTTCCTGTGTATTGCAGTGAAATCTTAAACTTTGTTATCAGCTCTCCAAGCTATCTTATGTGAGCTACACAATTCCTCCTTCCTATGTAATAGAGAGGATGTTGTGTTTGTAGTAGTAAAATAAAAAAAAAAAAAATCAGAACAGCAAAGGGTGACAACACTGCTCCTCCATAGATATAGTACCGTAAGTGAGCGTTGTCACCCTATGACAGAAAGTGCGTTACTGGCCAGATAACCAGGTGAAAAATGAAGGAATGAAAACTCCCTAAAAAGGACAAAAAAAAAAAAAAAAAAAAAAAAACTTATACAGCCACCACATCCAAGTACTGGCAATCTGCATAATATTAGTTAGGTGTTTTGGTTTAGATGCACACTAAATCTGGATTGGGAATAATATAAATCAGATGTAAGATGAAATCATACCGTAATATGTAACCACACTTGGAAAAATTTCAAAATGCGTTAATGTTTGTACAGCATATGGCTATACAAGCAGATGAAGTGTGTAATATAGTGTGTAAGGATCCACCAGATACAGTTTTTTTGGTATCGAGTATCGAAATTTATTTTTGCGTACTCACCGATACTGGTGACATGTGCCCTGATTATGAGGAAGCCGGATGGTGGATCATGACCTGCCGCCCGGCTTCCTGATTGCCTGAGAAGCTGGTGTTCTAGTGACAGAACACCAGCTTCACTTCCCGAGGCTGCTTGGTTTCCTGACCAATCAGGAAGCCGGCCGATGGGTCATGAGTTGCCACCCAGCTTCCTAAATGGTCAGGAAGCCAGGCTGCCTAGCAACTAGTGAAGCCGGCTTTCCTAGTGAATCAGAAAGCCGGGTCATGGCATGCTGCCTGGCTTCCTGCTTGGTTAGGAAGCAGGCTTCACTTGTTGCCAGGCAGACTGGCTTCCTGACCAATCAGGAAGCTGGGCATCACATCAAGACCAGCCTCTCGGCTTTCTGATCGTCAGGAAGCCAGACTGCCTAGCAACAAGTAAAGCCGGCTCCATACTACCTTCGTGCTGCTGGTCAGAGAGATATCTCCCTCTGACCGTAAGTTCCAGTATTGAAGTATCGGAGCATCGGCATATCCCTAATTATTAATATCTGACAGACTTGCTGTGAATCCAACAGGAGGTCCAAGAAAAACCCCAAGACCACTGATCTGTTTATAGCTTCTTGTGGCATATATAACAATTTCTAGATTGCCAATCCTGTTGTAATACCCCTTCAAAGGAAACCTATGCAAAGAAATACAGACAACCACTGCTAACCTTTCCTTCTAGTACTAGTTACCAGGATGTCATGCCTTCCAAACCTTAGTCAATGGCTAACAACTTGGCAGATAAGGAATTTTGCCTTTTCTTGCTGCACTATGGTACCAGGTCAGTGACTCGGAGATACTGAAGACAACAGACTAGCCAAGGGGTAGGCAACCTTGGCTCTCCAGCTGTGCTGAAAATACAAATCCCATCATGCTTCTGCCTCTGGGAGTCATGCCTGTGGCTTGCAATACCTTATGGGATTTGTAGTTTCAGCACAGCTGGAGAGCCAAGGTTGCCTACACCTGGACTAGCCTAACAGCCAGGGGACTAGAAATTTCAAGGCGACAATAGCAGAATATGTATTTTATATAAAGATGGTAGAATTATGTATAGTGACAGAACTGTAAAGTTGACTAACCTTCATGCTACTCAAAATCTTCTACAACAATCCTTTCTCAATTGAGCTTTCTTGCTGCCATGCTAACTGTGCTGAGACTTGGATAAAAGATTTCCAAACAGAAGCCTAAGGGGATATTCCTATTCTAACATCCAGGCATAGTGACATCTCTAACCTAACATCTCTAACCTAACATCTCTAGGTACTTGAACAAGAAGTACTTGGTAAACTACATCAGGAAACCAATTCAGATTTAGCTTCTTTTTTCTGCTCTACCTGAAATGTTTTATGAATTCTCCTTCAATAGCAAAAGGATAACTGTACTAAGCTAACAGTTTTCCAAATGTAAAAACTTATAGAACATCTGAACAGATACTTAATAACTATCATTATAAATGGAAACAACTCATTTTTTTGGATACCAAAAAAATGGAGGCCTATCAAGCTAACTGCAATGCAACACAAACTCTGACTAATCTCCCATGACTGTGGTCATTACCGTGGCAATATGATCCGATAAAACTAGGGTTCATGACACAGTTTTTGCTGTATTAATGGTTTTTACTGGTAGTAATTAATTTCCAGGAAAACCGCAGCTGATGGTGGTCAAATGATGGTCACGCTGTAGCGTGTGACTGTAGCAGTCCTTGATCATTTCTACTGTTACCCCGGAGGGACCTAGAAAAGTGTGTTGCCATTGTCATACCTGGGTTTCACACTAGTGCTGGCTGTATAGTAGCTTGAATGCTAGTATTGTTCTTATTATAGAAACTTTAATTTCTTTAGTCTTAAACCCAGACATTCACCTTCTGAAATGCCTTCAAGATTGTCACTGCAGAGAGAGAAGCGTAGGGTCTTGTCAGGCTTCCCATGAAGTTTAGTGTCGTCCACAGGAACATCTGCTTGTCCACCATCCACAAGCTGCATATTTAGAACCTGATAGAAAGCATATCATTGTGTTCAGTCAGGATCTTCAATAAAATATCTATTGATTCAGAAGGTTTAAAAACTTATCCCAGGCAAGCTGTGTAAATGCAAACCAATAATAAATGAATGGGGGAAGCTGGAATGCTCATAAACAACAAAACAAAAAGCCCCTCAGTTTGCCTGAGTATCTTCAAAGATACTGCAAAACATATTACAGTATAATGTGTGCGTCTGAGGTCTTTATAATCATTTCTGATATCACACTACTATGTACAATTGTAAACTTTCTATACTGATGGCCAGAGTAAAAGTCTAAATGACAAAGAATGCAAGTCATAAATATATGTTACGTATCCCCACCATTCAAAGATTGCTACAATACCATTCAATTTAAATGGAATAGTTTAATCTAGGGATGCACCGAAATTTCGTCCGCTTAAACATTTTGGCCGAAAATGGGCAAAATGCCGATATCATCAAAACAGCCGAAAATGCAGTGCATCTCTAGCTTCTCTCCAGCCCTCTGGGCGCCGGTCTGTGTTCCCTCTGATCCCCGATGCTTGTGTCAATAGAGGCAGCAGAGATTGTGGGGACACAGAGGAACCAGGTGCCAGCACCCAGCGGGGAGGAAAGAAGCTTTCAGGAGGCCGAGCTCTTGTCCCACACAGCCTCCTGTGACAGGCGAGTAAGGATGGAGAGTGGAGTACAAGCACTCAGCTATCAGAACCGATCACTAGGCGTTTGTAAATAACTGAGGACAAAGCTTACTATGTCCCCAGTTATGAACGAACAGGAAGTGCTCTACATCTACATCACATAGTAACTCATACTATTTCGAGAGTTTATGAACAGACAGGAGCAGCCTAGTATAGAGGCTCCCTGTTAATTCATAACGGGGGCTGCAGAAAAAGATTTAAGACTCTTATCTCTTTTTCTATTTTAAAATGTAAATATCAGGGGTCTATTTAGACCCCTGATATTTTCCCACAGCCCGCAAAAGTAAAGTAAAAAAAAAATAAAAACATTTTTCTTTTAAAAAGGTTTGGGGGCTGGGGGGGGAAGTTATTTTCGGTTTCAGCCGGACATTTTTATTTTTGGTCTAAACATTTAATTTTGGTGCATTGCTAGTTTAATTGCTAAAGTTTTTAAAAGCCCATTTAGTTTCTAATATTATCTGTACATAATGGTAGTTATATTTGCTCTCTGCACAGGCCAGAAAGTAGCATTTCTATGTACCTCATTCTCAGACATCATTCCGGGGGTAAGCTGGGGTCCTGTCCCTAGTGATATTACAAGAACCTCCTCTGGCTGTTCTGAAGTTGCCACATCCTGTGGGGAACTCTCATGTTCAGCCTCCAACAGGCTGGTTTTGCTCCTACTGCGGGTAACTGTAAGGAAAGGAAAAAGGATCAGCACTTTTGTTAAATTGTTCCTTTTATCCACCTAAACAGGATAGAATGAAATATGTGCCAATGATGCTGCACATATACAAAAGGTAATCGAAACACACAACTATAATGAAGAAAACCTTTCGTAAAAGAAATATGGAAGTTGCCCTGCTGTTTTGCTGACCCGCTGACTTAAGTACTTATTCATTGACCCAGAAAAAGCATTAAAGCCTAACTCTGGACAAGATTACCTTCACAGGCTTCAAGCAGGCAAACATTCGTGTTCCTTGGGAGGACCTTGCTTCCAGCTCCGGCTGTACTTTCTGGCCAGCTGTAAGTGCTAGGCCCCAATGCTAAAGTCACATCTCCACCCCCCCCTCTCTCTCTCTCTCGTTTCTTTTATTAAAGCGTATGTGCAGCATAAGTGTTTTACAAATGTTTATGATATTTTGGAAAAAGTAGGCAACAGGTGTGCAACAATTTAAGCATAGTGAGAGAATAGAAAGTATATTTTCAGCACATGCAGTTGTAACGGAGACGCTAGAGTTAACAGTATGCTCTGTTCAATATCTCACATCAAGAAATGGTAAATGGAAACAGACTACGAGGTGACCTGTACTCAAGTGTTCACTATATCAACAGTCTTGCTGTGGTGGATTAAGAGTAATAAAAGGTTTGAAATGTGTAAATTTTGAGGAAAATGGTGCTTCCAAGTTTCCTCCTGTACTTCAGGAGTGTCATAACACGATGCCTAGGCTTTTGGTCATATGACGGGTACAAAAATTACTCTAAGGTCTCGTTCACACCTAGGCGTATTGCATATGCGCGTCTGTCGCGCGTTTTTTGTACCGTGATTCGCGGTAAAAAAGTTGCGCGACAAACACGAGTTTCCGAAGGCTACTTGGCTGTATCCCAATGGAAACGCGCAACAAAAACGGCCCAAAGTAGTACCTGTACCTTTTTAGGCATGGGCCGTTTTGTAGCGCGTTAGGGACGGGCGGAAATACGCCAAGGTGGGAACGAGACCATTGAATACAATGGGATTTATATTTTTGAGCGTTTTGTAGAGCGTTCGTCGAGCGTAGAACGCGCTACAAAACGTTCAGGTGTGAACGAGGGCTAAAGCAGCTATTCATGAAAGGTAAACAATCCTTCCATCACTCAGTGTTCCTCCACCCCAGCAAGACTGTCAACTGAGTATACAAGTCTGATAAAACTGATTCAGAAACTGAAACATGATGCATGCAAGTGCAATTGTAGACTAAGTAGACTGAATTTCGGACTTATGCTTTTAAAAAAGGCATAAAAAAGTAGCCACTGCACACAATGGTAATGATTCAGTTTTACCACGTGATCACATAGGAAACATAGATGCAACTATGTCTTCAGTCTTCAGAATGTCAAAGCCTATATGTGAATATAGATAATTAATTTCACAGATACAATTGTGTGTACACAACAGTAAAAAAAAACACCCCACTTTTTCAGGGCAATGGACAATGGACAAAATACAGAGGGGAAATGCATCAAAACTGAAACTGACAGAATCTGGAGCAGATGCCCAACCAGTGAGAGTTTAGATTTCATTTTCAATGCTGAATTGATCAAACTGAAGATAGAAGCTGGTTAGTTACTATAGGCAACTTTTTGCTCCAGTTTTGATAAATTACCCCCGCAGTGTCTAAAAGCTTAAAAAGGAGAACTATGTGGTGAGTGATTTTCTCTCAGCCTCATAGTTCGAGTCGACGTGTGACAATGAAACTGTCACATGTGGGCTCAATAGATCAGGAAGTGAGCGAACACATACCGTAGCTCGCTCACTTCTCTAGAGGCAGAGCCAGCTCCCCCCCCCCCCCACCCCCTTGTCTGCACGAGCGAGCCCCCCCCCCCCCCCCCCCCCCCGTTCCGCCAGTCAGCGCTGGAGGATTGGAGCGGGGAGAATCCCTGCAGCGAGCCGTGGGTTACGGTCACGGCTCTCTGCAAGGATTCTCCCCCTCCCCGCTCCAATAGTTCAGCGCTGACTGGTGGAACAGAGGGAAGAGGGGGCGGGCACAGCTGGCTCTGCCTCTAGATAGGCAGAGTCAGCTGTCATTCACACAGCTGGGTGGATCTCAACAGTAATGCCGGGATCCGTCCCGCCTGCGGTGGTCTCAGTACAGTGAGCTGTAGTTAGCGGTGTACTGAGTTTGTGTCCTCCCGTGACCCTTAGAACTATGGGGGAAAACACTTACCCCATAGTTCTCCTGAAGTAGAACTATGGCCTCCCACTATAAAAATGCTGCAGCACTTTGTTATATTTGCAAGTGCACCTGCAGTCTCTTAGTCCTCCTGCAAAGTCCCACAAATACTTGTTGCTTCTGTGAGTGCAGCCCAGTTCATGCAGTTTACTTTGATAGTGTGGCAACAATGCTGCACTGCTACTGAATTCAGAACATACTTGCCCCTCTCATGTTGGCTGTGCTTACTTGCACTAAGTGGAATGAGAATATGGTGCAGGGGGAGTGGCTGTCAGCATTGTCACTGCTGATTCACAAGCCCGTGAATCAGAACCCAGACGCCCTAGTCCTGTATACTGCTTCCTGGATTGACAGCTCTGCCCCGTTGCTGAAACCACCCCACTGTGAGCTGCAGTGTTTGAGGGGGAGTGCGAGTCACAAAGAAGAATTTAACTTCCCTAACTGAGCCAAAATAAGTTTTTGTTTATTTTATGTGTATTGTGTATCGCATAGTAACTGCATTTGGGACTGTTACAAAGGAGCCTTTAGTTATACCTTAGGTAAACAAGATAGGCAATAATATTCATTTGTTCCATAGGTGGAGCCCATTCCCTTAGATTTTCTATAAATAATGGGAAGTACAGTGCAATAGCCCATTTCTTTTTAGGCTCTATACTGTGTAAACATTTTTACCATGATCATTTGCTTAGAATATCCACCCACATATCTTCAGAGATAATATTTTTTTTTTTAATTACACTAACACGCACTATGCCAATAATGTCACTTGTAGCAGAACACACTGTACTGAAGGTACATAGAGAAGAAAATACAGAGATATAGGTAAATACAGACATGAAAAAACAGACAATTCAGCAATACAAAAATGTAAACACAATGTTCCGTCCTTGAACTCACCAACGCCCAACCAACACAAGACATACTCTAGGTGTGAGCTCATAACTTGAATACATTTCAACACAAAGATTTTAAACAAAGCAATGCAGGATGTGCAATCTATGAACACAGGCGTTTACCATAACACTAAATGGAAGGCAACAGTAGTGCATGCTGTTTGCTTTTTTTCAGCGTCCACAGTAAATCTTACATTGTTCTATGAACCAAGCATATAGCAGTAAGCAGATGAATGAATGAATGAAGCCCACTAAAAATATGCAACTCTGGTGAGAATATTCAAACTATTTTCAGTGCTGTATACATATATAAAGAACACACTAAAATAACATGCAAGCGATGAGTAGCTAGCTTCTGTGACTGCTGCAATGATGGATGCTAGAGAAAGAGAGAAACTGGATGTGAACAAAGCTTGTCTCATGTAACTTACAAAAAATATATTAGATATTTTAGAAAAAAGTTATAAGGTAATACGCTATTAAATTAAACTTTTCAAAAACCGGGGCATTTCAAAGTATGCATATAAATAAAAATGTGTGACGGTGCTGATTGCCCAGTGCTGTCTCATGAATTGAGTCGCATGCTCCTCCAAACCCACAAGTACTGGTTATTTCTGTTGATTTTGGTTACTGAATGGTTGAGGAGTAAAGGGAGGAGAGTATATACTGTTGGGGATTGGAGGATTAAAGCCAAGCCGTTGCTTTGCCCTGCACAGGTTTCCTTTAAGGTGTATTTCCACTTTTGCAATCAAATTTGAGAAACCCCCGCTAATATATTTGTAATGAATTCCCCTTCACACAGCATGCGAAAAATTGTTTAGTTTTTTTTAAATATTTCTTAGCTTTCTAGTTGTTTCTCTGGAGCAGGTTTATACATAGGACATTACAGGTATCTTGTATTGCCTAGAATAGATGGCAATGTGCAGATGCAGGACAGTCTAAAGCTGGCCATACACTGGGCGAATTTCAGCCAAGTCTGCTAACTCCTAGTGTGTGACCAGTGTGTGGGTCCAGTTGGCACTCCATTATGCAAAAAATCGATTACTCAATCAACTTTTGTTGAAGGAGCCATTACACAAATTCTAAGCGGAACAGTGATTGGCAATTAGCTGGAGTCACTGTTCGGGAATTCAGACAGCGGAACACACACCACTGTCAAAATACAATAGCCCTGCAGGGAAAATTCCCCCCCATATGTACAGCCAGCCTTAGTGTCAGTGTTTTTCAAAAGTGCATTACCACCCAAGCCTTGAGATCTTTAACCCTTTGTTAGGACAGACGATGTGTAAATCTAGTTTACAATGGATAAGGATCTACCAGCACAGTACAGACAGGGTTAATTGTGGCATGCATTACTCCCCATCCCCTTCCTTAACAATACATAGAAGAGGGAAGATATGCAAGAATTTTACAACAAGTAAAAGCCAAGCAGCTTTTCTTTTAAAATATTACATACATATAGTTATGCTATGTCATTAAAAAACATAGGTGTTACCCCAATTTGGCTGTAAAAGTGGAAATACTACACACTATACTCTATACTGTACTACTACAATTATTTTTTACGCTACTGGTGACAGCGCCATTTTCTCCTTGTGATTCCAGAGTACAATAAGTAATTGGGCAAACGGGCTTCATCAGGGCTTGTAACAAAGGTCAATAAAAACCTCAAACGTCCTATGCTACTAAAAATGTTTTTGTTGCTGTTCTCATCGTACAGATTTCCCCTCGCTCCTGTCCCATGATGACGTCACGTTGTGGGGAATCCAACAGAAAGCAATTACAAAATTTGGGAGACTGTAACCCCTCCCAATTCTATAAACGACAAAGTTTTGCCCGGGGTTGGGTTTCAGGTAAACGAGAGGTGCTCATGTGATGTCATCTACAACCCACATGCCTTTATTTTTAACCTCATTAGAAAATGTAAAAAAGTTTGCATGTCAACACTGACATCCTTTAAATAGTCAGTAATACACATAGGTAGCATTGGGTTATTTATATACCTTTAAGGCTCCCAACTAGAGATAAATACTGACATTAACTAGTACAGTAAGAAAAAGTATTCTTCCCTAGAACTATTGTAAAATAGTAGCCATACAGAATGTGGCTTTTATTTAGAGAAGGATGTTAAGGCAAGCTTAGTTACATCACAGAAGTGTCCCTGCATGAGAAAAGAACATTCAGTTACACACCAAAAGGGGTCACCAGGTTTATATGAGCAGAGAGATTTGACGCAGACGTGTCCCACACAGTCATGGCCGCAAGCTGCTGCCCTGGGGAGTTAGTGAGTCAGTGATTACAGAGACAGAATGCAGTAAAATAAGTCATACAAGTAATGTACTTTTTAGTTACAATGAAAATCAGGATCATAAATCCAATATATTTATCAACTGCCTAGCAAAAGTGTGCTTGCCTCGTGTAATGCAAAACATTTTTTTTCACCACACATGCTTGTTGTAGAAACACCCAGAGGCATATCTATTTCATATTTCAAACATAACCCATGACACATTTAAAGTGGACCTAAACTCAAAAAGCGAAGGAACATTTGGAAAGGTTAATGAACAGTAGCCTTAAATATGTACGCTTCGTCTTGAATTCCTATTGAAAAATAGTAGTGCACTTCCTGGTATGCGAGGGTGCCTACATACTGCTGTGTCTGTAGCTCCATAGCTGTATAGCTGTATATCTGCAGTGTGAGATCTAAGGCACTGCTGCATTTGACTGACCTAGTCTCAGGAGATTTAGGATGAGATGGTATCATGGTATCATTATTACAAGTGTAAGGCGAGCAAATGTTCATGTGAATGGGGCCTAAGACTCCTGTCCTTCACTTATATGAAAAGTCCAGCAAGAAAAAAACCAAAACATTGCAGCCCAGAGAAGAAAAGTGGAATGCGTGGGCGGGTTGATCCACGGGAAACCAATTGTGCTCAAAACTTCTTGCTAACAGTACAATGTCTTTGTTGCACTGATATACCAAGTAGTGTTGTCGATCCTGTCCCGTTCTACTCTGTTGGACTACAGAACATAATCCTTTCTTTCAGTGGCAGAAAAAGATGACAAGCATGCCATATGAGATAAAGAGTTGCTTAAAGCAGATCTAAATCCATTGACTTAAATACACTTTAGCATGTTAAATTTAAATTCAAAAGATGCTTTCAATCTTTTTTTTTTTTTTTTTAATCTGCAGTGTTCACTAAAATAGCACCTGTAAATATTGGCATGCAGGTCCTTGTTCAGACACTTCCTATCAGGCTGAGATCCTGCGTTGTCACCCTGTGACATGTGTCCCTTATGGAGACTACAACACATTGCATAGGCATAATCCACTGTTGTCAGGAAGCCAATCCTATGCAATGATGTGTAGTCGAAACAATAGCAAATGCATGTAGGAGATCGGCAGCACTAAGATGCAGAAAAGGTGAAAACAGTATTTAATATAAGACAATGGCATTCATTTATGTTACACGGTGCTTTAGCAAACTAAAATGTCATCCAGCTAGAGTTTAGATCTTTGTTTGATGTTTCTTAACCAACAACTGGAAAACAGATCTATTGCATGTCTTCAATTTAGACCAAAAATATATAGGTGACTCTTCTCTGCAGCAATAGGCACACTTTTTTTCAATAATAATTTGGTTTTGGTGTATGCACTTTCTACTCACCTATAGGCAGCCTATTCTTCCTGCAAGCTGGTGTGGTAGCAGGGGATAACTGAGGGGTGCTGTAAGGTGTACTATCATTGTTATTTTTCCCTGGCTTGGTTTGAGGCACTGTAGCCAAAAGGTTTTCTAGGGCCATTCGGTCTTCTTCGCGCAAGTTATCACCAGATATAACACTGCGCAAGAATCCCAGCTGCAAGAAAATCAGGATCAGCGTTAACACAATAAACACTGCAAATCGCTCACAAATATTACAGGGGGGAAATAAATACATTAAAAAAAAACCATTGTTCCTGATTTGCCTGATCCACAGCACATGCCAAATAATTCACTCATCTATTGAAAGTTAGTGACACTGCGAGGTAGCCTGGCTTCCTGACCAACCAGGAAGCCGGGCGGCAGGTCATGACCCGCCATCCAGCTTCCTGATAGCCTGGGAAGCCGGTGTTGTATCGCAAAGCAAACCGGCTTCATGCTCCCTCGTACCACTGCGAGGCGGCCTGGCTTCTTGGCCAATCAGGACCTGCCTCCCGGCTTCCTGATTGCTTAGGAAGACAGGCTGCCTCGCAATGTCGCTAGGCAGCGTGAAGCCGGCTTCCTACCCAATCAGGAAGCGGGTCATCAATTAGCTAAGAGTGTATAAGAGCCAAGACTAAAAAAAAAAAAAAATGGTATTTTTCTTTACCAAACAAAAATACAAAATATCTTAGCCTGCCCTCCCCATGCATCACAATCAGAGTTTATATGCAAGAGCCTACACCGTTCCTTGGTTAATATTGAGAGGGCATTATAAAATTAGTTCTGTTTCTGGGTAAAGAATCTCGTTCTAATCAGGAATCAGAAAAATGTTGGGATACTTACCAGAGTAACCAGCTGGCTGTAAGTCATGTAGACAACGGTGCGACTTAGCCCCTCAAGCAAATTCACAGAGGATAATGGTGGTGTTTCAACTGCTCGGCCACCAATCACCACATCCAGAAATGCAGCAACGCAGCTCTGCGGAGAAAGGAAAGAAACGTGAAATAAATATGTGCTTATTTTAAAACCTTTCCATTATAAAAGAATGCTCTGTACTCCAGAGGTAAGCACAAAAGAATAACCATCTATGCTCATGTACACAAGGATAAAAGAACAGCAGCTGGGAAAGAGAAGGATTTGGTGACATGTTCTCAGTTAAAAACAGTCTTTGCTCACTCAAATATTACACATTGTTACCAAGGGCCCGTTGACAGTCCCGATGCGTTGGGGCTGGGCTGGACATGTTTTCCAGCGCAGCCCCAATGCAAGACAAGGCAAGGCAATTTGCCTTGTTCCAGATGGGCTTGGTTCAGACCACCGAATCGCACCAGAGTGTGCCCACTCGGCCCCTTCTTCGGGACGCAGAAGCGATCTGACGACAGTTAAGTCGCCAGGATCGCTTCTGTTGTAAAGCCGACAGTCGGCTCTACAAGTTTAAACAGAGTCCCGGCGGCAAAAGTCGGCGGGAGTCTGTTTAAACAGCCCCGATGCTGGCTGTCAGTCACGAAGGGGTTAATGAAATCTCACTTGTGACATTTCAATAAATTTCTAACAAAAAACAAACACAGTGCGATGTCCTGATTGAGCGCATCACCACTGTGACCCTCAATAGCACCCACAACCTTTACCCATAGTCTATTGGTACTTCTCCCTCATCTTCCCCATCTTATTAGCCCAAACCAGAGCAAATCTGAATCAGTAAATAAAAGATCTAGGGCTGCAACTAACAATTATTTCCATAATCTATTAGTTGGCTGATTATTTTTTCGATTAAATCGATTAAACAAAAAAAAACCATCTTTTATTTAAAATAAAATACACAAATGGAATGTTACAAACATAAGGTTTACTTCAGAATAAAACTGCATGCACAATGTTTGCAACTGCACAAAACTGGAATGCACAGCATTGTGGTACTGCATGTCCCAGTGCGGGCAATCACATTGCGGGCGGGAGGCGTGTTTGGGGTGCCATTGAAATTAATGGTATTGCAAAGCACATCCTGCAGCAGAATTTGTCAGGCTGAAACCATAAAAGACCTTTTCCCACCCAAATAATTGTATGTATTATATTAGACATTTAATTAGTTTCAGGGATCTAAAATAATCTGCATTGAAAAAATTCAAATATAATAGAATAACCAAACTTTTAATAAAAATCTAAAAGCCTGGTTATCAGTTTAGAGTTGGCCATGTATATTGGTCTGATAATTATTGCTTTTACTCTGCCGCACGCGGTGATACCTGACATGTATAGCGCAATCGTCGTTTTCATAGGTGCACTCGACGCGTGTTTTTTAGTATGTGCGCATTCGCGGGGACATGGGACTTAATTTTTTTTTGCCCATTTTTAAATTTTAATTTAACTTACATTTTTTTAAACTTTCTTTTACTTAGGAGAACTATGAGGTGAGTGCTTTTCACTCACCTCATAGTTCTAGCCGACCTGTGACAATGAGACTGTCGCAGGTCGGCTCAGTAGATCGGTAGGTGTGCGAACACATACCGGCGTTCGCTCACCTCTCGATCCTGTCACGGCTCTCTGCTGTGACAGGGGAGGGGCTGGATTCCCCCCCTCCGATCCACCAGTGCTGACTGGCGGAACGGACGGGGGACAATTATGCGGCTCCCGGCATAAATGTCAGGATCCGCTTCAGCGTCTCAGTACACCGCGAGTAGCAGCTCGCAGTATACTGCGGCGTCTCAGTATACCACGAGACCGCTCGCAGTATACTGAGCCTAGGGTGACGGGAGGATGCTAGTTTGTGTCCTCCCATTACCTTAAGGAGAACTATGGGGAAAAGCCTTAACCCCATAGTTCTCCTTTAATTGTAATGCCATCACATGTGGGATTTACAAGCCCCCTATGTGATAACACATTGGCGGAGACAGGTTCTCTTGAGGTGACATTAGGGGTCTTTTAGACCCCTAGTGTCACCTTTCTACTTCCATAACTTTAGCTGGGGAATGTAAATACAGCAGGCAGTGGCAGGGAGCAATAGCCAGCCTGCTATTGGCTATTTTAAATCGTAATAGCTAATAGCAGTCTGTCTATTGCACTCACCACTGACTGCTGTCAATCAGCAGAGGAGGGACCTGGAGGGAGATTGAGTCAGGGAGCTCTCCTCACCGCTGGGCACTAGATGCGGGGGTTGGTGTGTCCCTTTCCCATCCCCGCTGGGAGCAGCAGAGATCAGAAGGGACACAGAGCTGATGAAACAACTAAATCGATAATGAAAATTGCTGACAATGATTCTCATAGCGATTATTATCGATTAGTTGTTGTAGCCCTAAAAAGATCTGCTTACATGGCCAACAGATTTTCTTATGCTTTAGGGGTCTGTATTGATAATGCAATAAAATGCCACTTCACCTTAACCCTTTCGCTGCCAAGCCCTCCGGAACATTTTTCAAATCAGCTGGCCAAGCCATTTTTGAATTTTCTGCAATTTTTTCCTATTGATTTGATTTTCAACTGCTGCGTTGCTAGCGTTTGTAAAAGACCCCCCAAACCATATATTTTCTGAAAGCGCAGGCCCGGTAGAATAAAAAGATGGTGATACTAAATTTGTAGGCCCTGCGATAATTGCGCAAATGTTTCTCAAATTAATATTAAACCGATAAAAATACACAATTCAATTGTTAAAACACACCAAAATCAGTATCCGTGCACAAAAAAAAATATTTTTTGACTAAATCTAAAAGATAAAACTGTATTGAGTTAATAAATAACAAATATTAGCAAATTTGTAATTGCGCCTTTTTGCGAAAAGGTAAAAAAATGAAGGTATGCAAAACTGTAAATAATCGACTTATGTAAAAAATTAATAGCAGTCATCAGCTGATGACAGCTATTAATTTAAAGGGGACAGTCTGCTGAGCTAAAGCGACCATCAGCTTATAGTAGAACTGTAAATGCCAGGTCCGTATGGAATACTGACCTGGCCAGCTGGAAGCACTTTTGTAGGTCCGTATGCCATACGCCCTTGGCAGCGAAAGGGTTAAAGTGAGCTGTGCTTTGCCCCATACACAGCAAAGTAACAGGTTCATTTGAATGTCAACCTCACCAGTTACACATATTAACCTTACTTTCAGTCCACTTCCACTATGTTTGGCTATCAGGAGTGAAGAGAAGAAAACCTGTGTAAGCTCCAAGGTCATGACAAGGAGTTTACTCAGGGCTCAGGAATCTCATCCGGTCCCCAAACATTGCAGACATGTGGGAGGGTCTATGATCCTGATATCCACTAGATAAATAGATATACGCAGTCATGTTCCACAAATATTGGCACTCTGCATTTCTGTCAGATAATGCACCACTTTGCGCAGAAAGTTGCTGCAATTACAAATGTTTAGGCATTCTCATGTTTATTTGGTTTGTATTGGTACGACAAAAAAAGTGGAGGAAAAAAAGCAAAATCTGACACATTCCATGCAAAACTCCAAAAATGTACTGGACAAAATTATTGGCACCAATTTGAGAGACCTGGCGCAGTTGGTGAAAGAAAAGTGGTCCACAAATTCCTGTAGAGAGGTGTAAAAAACGAATTGATGGTTACAGGAAGCGATTGATTTGGTATTTTTTCCAAGGGCTGGACTACCAAATGTTGATGCCGCCAATAATTTTGTCTAGTCCATTTTTGGAGTCTTGCATGACATGCGTCAGATTTGGCTTTTTTTCCCCTCCACCTTTTTGTGTCATACCAATAGCAAACAAAATAAATAAAAATTAGAATGTCTAAACATTTGTAATTGCAAAAATGTTCTGCACAAAGTGGTACATTATCTGACAAACTGTATGAATATATATATATATATATATATATATATATACTAATGTCTTTATTCAACCTCAAATACTATGTAACTATGATACAAATGATCGAGCGTCTCTCGATCGCTTGACTGTAAAGCTCCCGGCCGGCCGTGTAATTACAACGGCCGGCCCGGAAGCTGCTCGTCGGGCTCCACTGTCTGCTCGTCACAGACGAGCGGATTTTCGAGATGTATGTATGTATGTATGTATGTATGTATGTATGTATGTATGTATGTATGTATACACACACATATATACATATATATATATACACACACACCTGCTAGATTGCCAAAAGTATTGAGACACATGCCTTTACACGCACATGAACTTTAATGGCATCCCAGTCTTAGTCCGTAGGGTTCAATGGTGAGGTCAGGTACTGATGTTGGACGAGAAGGCCTGGCTCGCAGTCTCTGCTCTAATTCATTCCAAGGGTGTTCTATCGGGTTTAGGTCAGTACTCTGTGCAGGCCAGTCAAGTTCCTCCACCCCAAATTCGCTCATCCATGTCTTTATGGATCTTGGTTTGTGCACTGGTGTGCAGTCATGTTGGAACAGGAAGGGGCCATCTGTACCCACAAAGTTGGGAGCATGAAATTGTCCAAATATCTTGGTATGCTGATGCCTTAAGAGCTCCCTTCACTGGAACTAAGGGGCCAAGCCAAACCCCTGAAAAACAATCTCACACCAAACAGAGAAGCATGAATCGTCAATCCAGAGAACACGTCTCCACTTCTCTAGAGTCCAGTGGTGGCGTGTTTTACACCACTGCATTCAACGCTTTGCATTGCACGTAGTGATGTAAGGCTTGGATGCAGCTACTCGGCCATGGAAACCCATTCCATGAAGCTCTCTACTCGCTGTTGTTGTGCCAATCTGAAGGCCACACGAAGTTTGGAGGTCTGAAGCTATTGACTGACAGTTGGCGATATCTGCACACTATGCGCTTCAGCATGCGTTGACCCCGCTCTGTCATTTTACGTGGCCTACCACTTTGTGGCTGAGATGCTGTTCCCAGTTGCTTCCACTTTGTTATATTCACAATAACATTTGACCATGGAATATTTAGTAGCAAGTAGATTTTGCGGATGGACTTATTGCACAGGTGGCAACCTATCACAGTACCACGCTTGAATTCACTGAGCTCCTGAGAACGACCCATTCTTTCACAAATGTTTGTAGCAGTCTGCATGCCTAGGTCTGTGCGTCTTATGGAGCGAAGCCCTATCGCTGAGCTCACCATAGAGCCCGTAGAGCAGACGAAGAACATCCGTTCTTCGTCTGCTCTGAGTGATCACTGAGACCGTGGCACTGTAATGACAGCTCCACCTGCCTCAGCTGTCACTAACTGCAGCTTTCACAGCCCTACCCTCCCTGCGTCCTATGGTCAGGTGCGCCTTAGGGAGCGCAAAATAGGGTGTGTGTATACACACATAGAATATTTTTCTTCATACCCAACAGCTCAAGCGTCAGATGAGCAAAGAGTAGGGAAGTAGGTACTGCTGGTGGTGCTGCCATTTGGGGGAACTAATTGCTATGCTTTTCACGCAAGGCCAAAGCATGGGTTTACTTTATACTGAACCTATGGGTTTACTTTATACGACTGCGTGCTTGAGGATCAGGTAAAAAAAAAAAAGACGCTTTATAAAGAGTCCCCCTAGACAATAACAATCAGTTGACTGTTGAAATGCTGGGGTAGCCCCGCTGCATGGGGACATTTTGTGTGCATGGAGATGGGCTTTAAATTATATAAATCTCGTTATAAAATGAAAAAAATAAAATAAAAAATGAATAAGCAATGACAGCTATTCCATAAAAAGCGATTTTTTTTAATAACGTTTGCAAATTCTTGAATCCCACAGGAGAGTCATTACTAATTTTATTCTACCTTAGTTATTAAGCCTGATTCATGCTTGGATTGTATTAAAGATTAAGTACACCCAACATACGTATGGCACATATAACTGATCAAAATTATTCATATAAAATGTGCACATACCATCAAGGGCCAACAGAGCGGAAGTACTTTTTTTACACTAATTTGCTGAAAAGTCAAGCATTAGACATCTAGGCTAAGGTGCAAAGTTAACCATTTTGTAACCAGTCTGATACCTAGATGAATGGGCCAAATTTAGCAGCATCAGAGATATGTGTAGGTTATCTTAAAGCATATGACAAGCCAAAATAAAAAATATAATGTTTTGAGTCAAGTTTATAAACTGCATCATTTTAATATACAGTATGTATATAAAAAATATATTTCATACAAAGTGCACCCATGACACTGGATTCCTTATTATATGTTTTCTAAATAAGGACACAGCAGAAACTGTTGCTTTTAGGGTACGTTCACACCATATGCAGTGCGTTCCGGCCCGATTCCGGCCGGAACACACTGCATCGCATTGCGGCCGGCTCACTATTTCGTGGGGCTGGAGGGGGCGTGGCAGGCTATTGAAGTGAATGGCACGGTAAACACACTCTGCGGTCACCCGCACGGGATCGCAGGGCACATTGTGCCTGCGGTCCAGTGCTTGCTGCATTTTGACCGCACAAGTGAAGGGTCACCTTGAGTTCCATACAAAAATATTTAGAAACTTTTGTTAAACAGGTATCCAATACCTGCTGAAAAAAAACAGAGTGAAAACAGATTAATCTTCAGCCTTACAACTCACTGCCTTGTGTATCACTTACTTTATCAAACTTGCTGAGATTGTTCCTGCTACGCGAATCTACATCCTCAACTGCCAACTGCTGCAGGAGGCGGCCAACCTAGATCATAGAAATGGAAAAAGACCTGAATGACTGGCTTGTTACAAGAGAAAGAAGTTCAAACTGCATGCATTCATTCAATTCCCTGCCTCCTGCCAAAAACACATCAATATCCTTTCTTTTACAAGATAGTGAAGATGAAGGCTTATACATTCAAGCCAGGATGCTAATGTGGTCAGCACATTAAAATTGTTTCACACTTTCCCCCTTAAAGGGGTAAACTCAATCTTTGATCAGGTTTTAGTAATAATAATAATAATAATAATTTTAAAAAAAGATAAAATTCCTCCTTAAAAACATTGATAGGTAAAAGATAAAGTAATTGAAACAGGACTAAATGTTTTCATACAACCAGCATTGTTTTTAATATTTGTCTTTAAAGCAAACAAAAATTAAATTTGTGAAAATTGCTTTCAGATAGGATACAGAACCTCTTCTGCCATAGAAGCTCCTTCCCTACCTACTAGCATTTTTCGCCTTATTGTACACCGGCTGCGGCAGAGGCTGGTAGTAGGAGTCAGGTCCTGGGAAAATGCAACTCCCGCACAGGAATTACGTCATCAATGTCAGGCCAAAACAAAAGACTAAGGACTCCGGACTTGGAAGAAGATGGCACTGGTGGTGACAGAGCAATGAGGGTGAGTGCAGACACTATATCGCTGGAGCAGGGTACTTTAAGAGGTAAGTGTATCATAGTGTACAAGTATGCTGTACAACCTGCCAATGATGAATAAATGGCGGCATCCATCAGTTTACAGTGTGAACTGGAGAATAGGATTTGTCCAGTACGAGTTTTTATGTCTTATTTGCTAAAGAGTTTTATATTTATAGTTCTTCAAATGTGTCCTACCTGCATTAGGTTAAATCTTGCCACTTCATTGATGGGCGCATCCGAGATAATCCCATACTGCTCAGGGTTCACAATTGCGGGGCAGATTAAACAAGTCAGCAGTAGATCAGTGCACATAGATCTCACTTCACCAACATCCAAACCTTCCACACAAGAAAGTGTTTTGGACATTTGGGAGACAATCCACCTCAAGCTGTGTGGGAAGCAATAAGTATTGTGCTTTAAATACCCAATAAATTTATTAACAAGTGCAACCAGCTTAGCTTCGTTTGATTCCACCATCTCTTGGACCTTCTGCCTAAAACGGTCACTTCCCTTCTCCCCAAATAGCTTTTCTTGTTGGGCTGGAGAGAACCTTTCAATTAGCTTGCTTGGATCAGTCTCCAGGTGATCCTCATCCTCAACTAATAGTTGCATAATAGGTTCATGTAAAGTTGCAGTCAAGAAGAGTTTAGCTGAGAAAACTCCTTCAGAAAAAAGTTTGAAGATAATGCTAAAGGCACAAGTCCCTTTCCGAAGCAAACGACGAGGGTTATCACTTTCCTTCAGTTCAAACTCTATTAAATACCGTAAAACCTGCAACAGATAGCTCTCATCCTCTTGCATAATGCAGTTGCCATAAAGAGAGGTGAACACTGTGTGTATGACACTTTGAGCATTCTCTTGGTTGAGTCTCTCTCCAGCCACGAGACATGATGCAATGAGCCGTGGATTTTCCCTTAGTCGATTAAGAAACTCGCCATATACAGTCTCCTGAAATCCTAGATGTTTGTAACCATCCACAAACTGGGTGTCCTCCAGGAGCTTAGCATGTTGACAGCACTCAGCTGGAGAGGCTTCAGCACTAGGAAACAAATAGTGTTAAACTCACCCAAAAGGTAAAAACTTGCAATGTCAATATCATTACACATTAGCAAAAAAAAAAAAAAACACAAGCAACACATGTGCTTATTCAGTAAACATGCAAAACACAAGCATAATTTGCAAATAAAAATACATTAGATTTAAAAGGTGCACAGGTCAGACCACTTAAAAGATACAAAATGTCTATTCCTGCCTTTCATACTTTGATCTTTACCGTTCATGGTATTTTCCTTAAACGAGAACTATGGGGTCAGGGCTTTTCCCTATAGTTCTCCAAAGGGTAACGGGAGGACACAAACTAGCGTCCTCCCGTTACCCAAAGCTCAGTGAACCGCAAGCTGCAGCTTGCGGTATACTGATACGCCGCAGCTGAAGCGGATCCCGACAAATATGTCTGGATCCGCCCAGCTGCGTGAGTGACAGCTGGCTCTGCCTATCTAGAGGCAGAGCCAGCTGTACCCGCCCCCTCCCCCGTCCGTTCTGCCAGTCAGCGCTGGAGGATCGGACAGGGGAGGGGAGAATCCAGTCCCTCCCTTCACGGCTCTCTGCAGTGACAAGATCAAGCAGTGAGCGAACGCCGATATGTGTTCGCCCACTACCCGATCTACTGAGCCGACCTGTGACAGTTTCATTGTCACAGGCCGGCTCAGATTAGGAGGAGGAGTGAAAAACACTCACCTCATAATTCTACTTTAAGTGTGAGGTTGGTAGTACACATGGTTACAGACGCAATCTTCCAAAATCACACATTACATCACTTTTGCCAAAGCGAACCAGGAAGTATCAAACAAATTGTAAGTAAAATAAAAATATGTTTGTTTAACTAATGAGTGTAAGATGATTTCTTATCAGCATGCAGAGCTGCATGCTCATATGATTTTTATCCAAATTCAGTAAAGGTCTACATTAAGCTGAATCCACTCTGTAACCTCAGGTTCCTGTTCATGGAACTGATGGAAACCCAGCTTTAGCTGAAAAGTATTGATCACCCTAGGAGGAGGAGTGACCCAATTGTACTTTTCATAGGGGCAGGTCAATACAAATTACAGTACCACTGCTAGACAATGTGTGCTGAAGTCACAAAACTGTAATTTCAGGCTGTCATTTCTTTTTAGTGCAATGGCTACCAAGCTTCTAGGATTTGTTATGCCCGAACTGCAAACAAAATGGGCATAGCATCAAATATTTTTCTATGTTCACTGCATGCATGCTAACGAATGTCTAAGTGAAAGTATTTGCTACGTTACACAGAGACCACAGTGCTCCCCCTGACAATGACTCCTTCTGACTTCCTCAAGAAGGACAAAACCATCTTTGTTCAGACATCATCCAGGATTAGCATCTAATTCCTGGACTAAGATGCTGGCTCAGAGATGTCACAATCATGCAAATCCTGGTGCCTGTGCAGGTCTTGGCTGTGTTCACAAATCTGATAGAGACCAGTCCTGATGCAGCCTCTCATCTTGTGAATTAAAAGGAGAACTATGGGGTTAAGGCTTTTACCCATAGTTCTCCTTAGGGTAACGGGAGGACACAAACTAGAGTCCTCCCGTCACCCTAAGCTCAGTATACCGCGAGCTACAGCTCGCGGTATACTGAGACGACGCAGCTGAAGCGGATCTGGATCCACCCAGCTGCGTGAGTGACAGCTGGCTCTGCCTATCTAGAGGCAGAGCCAGCTGTACCCGCCCCCTCCCCAGTCCGTTCCGCCAGTCAGCGCTGGCAGATCGGAGCGGGGAAGGGGGAATCCAGCCCCTCACCTGTCACGGCAGAGAGCCGTGACAGGATCGAGAGGTGAGCGAAAGCCGGTATGTGTTCGCTCACCTCCCGATCTACTGAGCCGACCTGTGACAGTTTCATTGTCACAGGTCAGCTAGAACTATGAGGTGAGTGAAAAGCACTCACCTCATAGTTCTCCTTTAAGCTACAAAGCTGCAGTCTGATCACTGGGACAGAGGAAACTAAGGAAATACTTCCATGTGCCTGCAGCAGAATGATGACTGGGAAAGTCATGGAAAAGTCTCCTGACTGCAATTCAATGACTGATTTTTAACTATACAATATAAAGCTTTATGGAAAATTACACTGTTGGGTGTATGTTGCAAAGCGTCAGGTATTTATGCATACAGACTACAAGTCACTTTAAGGTGTGTTACCTTGTTAAAATGAGTCTGTCCAAGTTAATCCTTTGCTGTTTGGAAATCCAAGATGTTCTGTAGAGCTTCTCTGCAGTTTTTAAAACGTCAGCATTCAGCCTCTGGATGAGTTGTTTTTCTGAATTAACATATAGCCTTTCCTGCTTGAGGTGGCGGGCAAGTGTGTGGATATCCGGCTTCACCATTTTGGGGCTCTCTAAAAACCACCGGACCTACCAAAAAAAAAACAACCAAACACAGGCATGAGTCAGCCAACTTTGGATACCAGCGAGTCAAATCATTACACACCCAGCCACAAACCGGAGACTCAAAAGCTGGCAGTGCAGAGTATATCATCACTACACATATAAGCGTGAACAAATGGTTTAACTCAAAATGTGAGGTCCACCAAATGGTGCATGGCACCGCAACCCACTAACACAATTGTTATTCCAGATGAGAGGCCGGCCTTCTACACATGGGCTTTGGCTTGTATGAGAGCAGTGTGTACAATAAACTATCTACAAAGTGATTGCACAGCTTTCAACTTTGTAAAAACTTAAATGCAACCTTCAAGCTCCAGCTTGAGGACGTTAAAACGCAATTCTAAACAGGGGTGCTGGCTGTCATTTTAAAGCAGAACTCCGGTCAAATCATAGCTTAACTCTTGCAGTGGGCCTATCCCAGCACTGCAATGGTTAAGTGCTCATTTTGTCTAGGGATCAGAACTAACAGTGTTATACTCACCCGAACCGCGATCCCGGCTTGCACTTAGACTGGTCTCTTCAGCCTTGCTTCCCCTCCAGCGGTCTAAGGTCCAGTGAGTCATCACATTCTATATAGTGTATGGAACGTGATGACGCTGAGGAACATACCAATGCTGGAGCGGAGGAGGAGACAGGAGGGAGAAGTAGGAGCCAGCCAGGACCGTGGCTTGGGTGAGGCTATTGGGTTTCTGCTATTTTAATTCCCTAAACAAAATGAGCACTTAACTCTTGCCGTGCTGGGATAGGCCCACTGCAAGGGTTAAGATTTTCTTGGCCTGGAGTTCTGCTTTAAATAGGCAGCTAGCAGACTTCAGCAGGCTGTAATCACGTTTCAAGCAGTGTCCAAGCTTGTATCCTCAAACTGGAGCTGAAAGGTTTTTTTGTAAGCTGGCTGAAAGCTTTGTTAAAGGTTGCTGTACATACCGCTCCGATGCACGTTGAAGCCTATTTGTTTATATCTGTTAGATTTACAACACTGTGCAATGCAGTAAAGTCTGGTTGGCTAACCTCCCTCTTCCAATCGATACAAGGTTTGGAAATCTAGGACAAACAGAGTGAAGCTCTATTACAAGCAAAATGTCAAGCATAGCGCTTTTGGTCATATCTTTTGGGGAACAAAATATTAGTTAGCTCTCCCAGGGGCGTAACTAGAAATCACAGGGCCCCATAGCAAAATTTTGTATAGGGCCCTGTGATTTCTAGGTATGCCCTTGCAGAGCTCACCTGATATCCCAAACAGCCCACCTGAGAGTGACCCTGCAGAGGCCACCATAGACTCTCTATGGCAGGCTCTGCATGGTCTCAGGTGGGCTGCACACCTCTTACCTGTCAGCCCCTATCCGCTGTCCACCTCCGGGTCCCGCCGCCTCCTCCTCCACTTCTGGAGCCGGTCCTAGCCTTCCTCCTTCACAGCTGCTGGCTGTTACTGACTCAGCAGCAGCTGTGAGGAGGAACGCGCCGCTGCACAGATCACTGACAGGTTGTCGGTGATCTAACAGCGGCGTGTTCCTCCTCACACCCGCCAGTGACAGCCAGCAGCCTGAGATGCCATAGTGACCCAGGCAGCCCGCACGGCATCAGGTGTCCTGGATGGGCCCCATAGCGGCCACCTGAGTCGCTATGGTGAATGCTACGCCACTGACCTCTGCCGATGTTTATGCCACGTCTGGAGTGCTTTTGTGTAATGTATAACTGACACATACATGCATACTGGATAGTGCAGTCTCATGGAACTTCCGGACGGCTGTGGATCATATACAAGAAAGCAGTAGTGTAGTTTTTCTGCCCCTCCTCCTCCCTTGTCCATTCATAGAACTCCTTGTATTCTGCGATTGGCTCACAGAATACAAGGCGTTCAAACCAATCACAGAATACAAGGAGTTCTGTTTGAGAAAGAACAGAAATAATTTTACACTACGCAAAAACAATCTGAACATGACAAATATCAGTGGAGAGAACGTTTCCCCCCTGCAGATATAAACAAAGTGCTGTGCCTGGACTTCTGCTTTAAAAACCCTTTTAGTAAATTTTAATTAATACATAACTGGATTACATTGGGTCTTTTATATCTGCTAGATCAAATTAAACCCAGCACTAGTCACCTTTTATGCTTGGTTTCTGTTTCTGTTAATATGCCAAAAAGAACAGGGAAAGAAGTCTTGTTCAAATGCCACACCATAAATACCTATAAGGGCAAGTTAATCAAATACCATGTTACAACTGCTTTTCAATTAAATTAGCTTTTTTGTACTTTAAAAAAATATGTATTCAGTTAGCTAGGATTTACCACACTACAACGTCGATTTTGCAGTACTTTGTATATAAAAAATCAATTTACAAAAGATATTACACAGTATCAATAGCTTCTCAAGATGTTAATTGTGAGAAATTATTTTAGATTGCAAGCCCTCACGGGCAGGGCCCTCCTTACCATCTTGTCTTGAATTGTGACTGTAATGTCTTCCTTATATTGTAAAGCGCTGTGCAAACTATTGGCGCTATATAAACCCATAATAATAATAATAATAATAATAATAATGTGCAATTTTAGGGGAGAGGTAAAAAGAAATTCACAAAAAATATGTAATGAATAATAAATTCACGTTTGTAATAGTTTACAATGATAAAATTAAAATGATACAGCCATCCAAATTTTTTACGCCACTTAGCTCCCAGGCAATTTGTTCGCCAACATACATATTCAGTTCAATATGTATGTGAACTGAATGTGCTGATAAAAAAATTATAACTAAAGTTAAAATAACTCAAAGAGCTTACAGCACTGACCCTATTATATCAATTTCAAATCAACACAATCTTAGATGTCTGTTATACAAAATGACATAAAAAAATCGAGCATAACAATAATAGCAAAATGAAAGTCACTCAATTGTTCTAAAACCAATTCATGCTTGATCAGGAATGTCTACGGTATAGCAAATATATGTTTAAAAGTCTACAAACAAACCTGCAAATTACAATAAAGATACGTTTTTTACCGGAAAACAAAAAGCTGTAATGTGTGGCTTTCCTCTACCAAAGAAGAAATCTGCCTACGAAATCCTCAGTCTGTAGCAGGCAATGCGTACTTGTATTTAACTCACAAAGAATACTTTGTGTAGAGCTCAAAAAGTATTTGTGCTCATTTTCTGGAAATTCCAAAAATAGGGGTGGGCTAAGATTAAATGGCCGCTAAACCTATAAAAAAATCTTCTCAGCACCAAATGCCATCCCGTGATGTTTTCAGATGTCCAAGATATAAAAAGGAGCCCACGTTTGTTTTTTTGTTTCTTCAAACAAAACAAAAAAAACCTGAAACGTTTATGAAGTATTAAAGCTGAAAAAAAGAAATTACGAAACAGGCACGGAGAGATGCCTGCACATACTTTTACTTCCCTAAGACCCCAGGTGCTCAACTTTCAGCTCCAAAAGTCAGAGCAACACCATATCTCTCTCTGTGAGTGTAAAAATGTCCATTGTTTTGAAGTTCTGCAGGTCACCTTTATACAAAAAGGAAATGCAGAAACCTTTAATACCCTGGGATGTCTACTTTGCTTAAGTGCACTTCTTAAAAGGTGATTTTGCGTTTTTAGTGCCGTGTCGTTGACCAGTATGTGGTCAGGAAATGAACCATGGCAAAAATGGCACTTGGAAAAGGCAAAAAGGTGCATTGTATAGTCCAAGACCAATAAAGTGCGCTGATACTATACAGTAATAGTTAAACGTGGCATCTGTTTTTATAGAGTGGTAGTTCTGGGATGCTTTTCCCTAGGTCTTTGCGGTTAGGTCTCATTCATACCTGAGCATTCTGTTGCATGATTCTCAAAGCGCAACAATTCTCAAGATGAAGAACCCCATTATTCTCAATAGCCCCCTGTTCACACCCAAGCATTCTGTCACTTGTGGCAGAATTGTGCTTTTGGCCCCATAGACTTTAATGAAAGCTTCTAATAAATGTTTATTTACACACATGGGGCCAAAAACACAGAATTCTGCTCCTGTACTAAAAGTTGGAAGAAAAAAAAAAAAAAACACCTCTAAATTGCCTGGTTACATTCACATTTGTATGTGAACGGGGCTTGGAGCAAAAAGAACAAAAAAATGCTAGTGTAAAATTGTAAGCCCTCACGGGCAGGGCCCTCCTTACCATCTTAAGTCTTAAATTGTAATGTCTTTCTTATATTGTAAAGTGCTGCGCAAACTGTTGGCGCTATATAAATCCTGCATAATAATAATAATAATTAAAACATTAAAACAAAGTGCCCCAAAATACCCTGTGAAGTCTACTTTATATAGATGTGTTCTGGTTGAGGTGAGTTTTCTTTTTTAGGGCCCTTTAACACCAATCAGGTCTGATGTGGTACGGGTAATGCAAGTTATATTGTGTGTATATTGAACGGCCTTCCTAACGCACCACAACATTCCAAAAATTGGACCTTCAGCATATTGCTAGTGTAGCACATAATACAACACACAACAGTTTACCACTCATTGCAGTATGCTGTAGCGCAGGTGCGTTAGGGTGCCATTCAGAATGAAAGCCACCACAGCACATCATTGCACCCAACGCATGGTAACTAGCGATTTTGCTCATACGGCAGCACTCTATAAGGTTTTGCTCCAGATTCTGTCTGCTGCAGTTTTTATGAATGTCCCCATTGTGTTCACGGATGATCATCTATCCCTAACTACAGGTAATCACTGACTGTGCAGATACATGTAAACAGCCACGGACAGCTACAGCTGCTGTCAGTCTGTCATGATAGGGAAAGTGGGGATAAGTGTCTGGACCACAAACTTGCTCTGTCATACCCATGTGAATGAAGACTAAAAAAGGGAAAAAGGGCACCAGGCAATCATCTTAAGAGTCAAAACAATATTTATTGGCTTAAAAAATGACATGATATGCACAGTCAACGCGTTTCAGGGGTTCTCGTACGAGAATCGAGCAGTGTATGGGCACCTTA